GGTAAGAGCGAGACGAGAATTGAGTGTACCAGGTGTCTCGAGAACGCCGAAAATGTTTTTTCGGACGGAATCTTCCTGGGCATCTGCGAGTTGGGAGGGAGCATAGATGGAGAAAAGGGAAGTGGGGCGAGGTTTGGTGGAGAGCTGTAGAATTGCTATCCGAGAAACTACAGGTATAAAATAATGGACAAGCGGGTGGACAAATTGGGGAACGGCGAAGCCAACACCGGCATGGGGGTCTGATGCATCCCCCGACAGATAGAAGCGCCAATTTAAAGATCTGACATGGTCAGTGCAAAGGCTTTTAGTTTCTTGCAGGCAGACAATTCCCATTGGGAGGGAGTTGAGGGTTTGGGCTAGCATTTTGAATTCCCAATACCGCGCAAAGGTTCTATGTTCCACGAATGTAGAACAATTCGTCGATGCGGCGTAGCCAAAGTCTGAAGGCGGGAAGGTGGAAGGGAGAGCCGATCGCGTTGGATGAATTTTCGGAAAAAGAAGGTGGGGGAAGTGCAGCCAGGGGAGATTTTACAAGGACCAGTGGATCGAATTTGCTGTTGAACGCTAACTTGCACGGTTTTCGGGGGGGGCAGTACTGAGCTAGGGTGAGGTTCACAGCACTGCGGATATCAGAGCGCCATTGGCGGATATCCTACGATTACGCGTTCTGAACGCAAGTTTTGATGGGTTCGTTGCCCCCCGACGCATTGCGGGGTTCGTGACCACTTGCTGCTTTGATAACTCGTTGGAGGGCATACCGTTGGTATTGGAAAAATTGCTTATTATTAGAGAAGCCGTGGTCTCCCCCCGCTGCTTCAAGCTGCTTTATGATGTTGGTCTTGGCAAGCCCTGTATAAACGCTATATATTCTGGCCCCCCTGTGGTAAAACCAGAGTGAAAGGTGATGCTTACAAATTCGGAAATGGTGAACCATCATGCCATCCGGGAGAAGGACCGGCCAGGATCGAAATTTGGTGGGCAGGTTAGTGAAAAACCATGTGCCTAAAAAGACCGCACTGCTGGCAAAATTAGAAAGAACCAGGCAAACGCTATTTGGAGCTCGAAGCTTGGACATACACTTAGATTTACTGGCCCTGGGCCGCTTTGCCAACCGTAATATTGAATATACATTCGCATTGCCTGAGAAAGGAGAGCAATGCAGCCATTTGGAGCAGTCGGTTCTGAAAGAGTCTGGGGGCCTTTGGCCCTTTTGTGCGCTTTCCTTAGTAGGCGCAATTTCCTTATTAGATTGTTCCTGCAGCACATCTTGATTGGGGATCAACATTTTGGGGAAAAGGTCATTAGTTCACTCGAGGCCGACGAATTAGCTAGTCAGAGAACTTGACTAATCCATGGGAATCGGGCATCCTTGTATTGGTACATAAACAAAACCCAAAGCTGCCAATAATCCCCATGGGACCCTTCCTCAGCATAGATAAACAACAACACATCCAAAGAATTGCCTTTATTGTTGCAATGGCGTTGGGTAAGGGCCCATTGTGCGTCCTCCCGAGGGAGATGGAGCAAAGGGGTCAATTTGTCATACAAAAAGTTTAGGGCCTCATTGGGCACTTGATGTTGAGCCTTTGGCTTCTTGGCAGTGTGAACCATGTATGCGCGAGAAATCTGCCAGAAACAAACATCAGTGAAAGCAGTCGCAAATGCACTCAGGGATTTCAAGGTCTCATTACTATAGAGATTGCGGCCCAAGAAAACATCCAAGCTGAAGTCAGAATGCATCAGCCAATTTGCTAAACGGTGCAAGACAGATTCAAAAGGCCAAAAATCATCAGCTGCCAGGGAGGCTCCCAAGAGGTCCAATAGATCTCGGGTGAGCTTGGTGCCGGGCTTGCTATGAAGGAGCTCGCCCTGCTCTAATTCTTCAAAAGCCAGCTGCAGGGAGCTAGCAACCATGGAGCCCCAAGGGACCACAGCCGCTGTGATCAAATTGAGGTCAGCTATCTCATCTTGCAGTTCCCAATGCGAAGTCAAAGATTCCCATTCTTTTTGCCATAGTTCTTCAAAAAGGAAAGCAAAATAATCCAAAGTTGCAAAATGATCCCTGATCAGCGTGGTGATGTCACAGCCAGCATTGTGGAGGTATTCCTCCATCTGTTTTGGATAGATTTCAAAGGGCAGGACTGAAGATTGAAGCAGGGGAAGAAAATGGTGTTCTCGCGCAAGAACCCGAAGGATCCATGTAAACGAACATTGCTCTATGGTGAATTGGTCGGTGCCAGTCTCGCCAATGCGATGGCAGAGTTCTTGGATATAGTGCTGAAGCTTTTCTAGGTCACACTGGTCAAGTCATAGTCATACAGGATGCGGTCCACCTGGTATATCTCTGCAAGCCGATACGGAGATACCGTCAAGGAGTCGGACTGTGGATACTTCCAGAAATGAAATTTACATGCGCCCGACACAAGCTGCAATCACCAAAGCCCAGTCGTGCATTGCAAATGCGGCCGTCCGCAGCAATACCTGGGCACCAAACTGTTTTAACAGGGGTCGACTGCTTCGCAGTGCCTGGAGGAGCTTCATACTTGCTGCATTCTCGGCAATCCAAGTTCACACCCAAAGCGCAAAGACAGATTTGACAGCCGCCACGCGAGCTGCCTTTTGCAGTGGAGCGGCCCTTTCCTGTCGGGCGGGCGCTCCCGTTCGTCCATGTTTTGCCAAATTTGGCAGGCCAGGAGGGGCCTGAGGTTCCATCTTGATGACCATCATCCCTTCGCCACTGCCACTTGGATTGATCTGGAGCACGGTCTTGTAAATTGGACCAGGGCTTGACGCCTTTCGACTTCCCATTCTTTTTTGGTGAGTCAGAGCCCTTGTCTCGAAGCGCCCCCTTTGAGCTCCCCATGCCGTAATCTTCCACTTGAACCCCGTCATCTTGAAAAACTTGGGATACTGTCGCTAGAAGGCCGGACGCCCCCTGCAACGGAAGAGAAGGGTGCTTCTCAAGCAGTGCTGCCAAAGAACTCGACATGCTCAGCGGAATCAATGGGTATTCAAATTGCAACTGAGGGTCTGGGATATTAGCCAAGTCAAATGCTTTGTTCCAGGAGTGGCGAGCCACTGTGGTCTTGTCTCCAACAGCTCGCTGGGGGACATAGTGTTGTTCTCATCCTCGAGGAGAATGCATCATGCCAGCGGGCCAGGGTTTCCTCATAGTAGGCCTCTGCGACAAACACCACGCAGACGTACCTACGCGCAAACCGGTGATCCAGCAGGCAGCATACCTGGGAGAGAAGTGGGCAAGGAGCCTGAGCTTTGTCACCCCAGATTTGTAGTGTGTTGCGGTCAGTCTGTAGCTCCCCATTGGCACCAGCTGGGCCAATTTTCTGCAAAATATCCATCATTGTATAATAAGGCTATAGGGCAATTCGCTCATCTGTGGGAAGATCCTGTTAAACCCTTGCTTTCTCCGAGTAATATTGGTCTTGCTGTTGGATGGGTAAACGCCACATCTGTTTTGAGGTTCTCATTGCCTGAAAGAGCTGGCGCCGCTGTTCTTCAGTTGTCAGCTCCAGCCGCATGATGCTGGTGGACGAGCTCATCAAATGGGTATGCACGGCTGCAACACAAGAGAAGTCCAGGGAAGCCTTGGAAAGGAAATATCGCATATTCTTCTCTAGGGCCGACCGGGAGTACCCAAAGGCAGGTAATCCACGGATCCATACTGTCTTGTTGGACCGTGACTGCTCCAGAGACCGCAGTCGCGTGCACACAAGGTCAAAGTGCAGCTGTACATATTGGGATTCCATCACCGTATTTGCGTGAAATTCAGCACATGTCTTCCAGAGTTTGTCCATGTTCGGGAGCACGGTTTGGCTATGATATTCAATCATAGCAGCTTTGAGGGATTCTTCCGGTATGGTCAAGGTGGGTGTCTCTGCCGTCAACTTTTCCTGGTCACTAAAGATCCGCTTTTTGCTCAGGTTCACTCTTCTTCTCCGGGTCATAAGCCTTGGCTGCATCCGGTGTCAGTTGCACAAGCTGAAATTCTCTTCGAGCCTCAGCATCAGTTTGCAGGCGATGTCTGAGTTGAGGTCAAACTCCATCCAATCTATTTTTCGTTCAGCTAAGGCATCAACAAATGTCTGTAGGTCATTATCCAGCTTTTGTCTCCTGGGCGAAGCTGGTCTGCTCTCTGTTGGAGGCTGCTGGTTTTGTTGCTTGAATTTCTGCAACAAATCGTAGTCTTCCTGGGTGATCTCGACTCTCGGCTGCGCCGACGGTGTCGGCGAAGCAGGTGGTGTTTCAGTTGCCATGGCTCACATTGAGTGATCGAGTGTGAGTGCTGGAATCAAAAGAGAGTTGTGAGCGAGGTGTTTCAAAAGTCAAAATGAATATGTGCATGCCAGCAAAGACAGGTGCAAAACATAGCAAAATAAAACACCTGAAGAACTGCTACACTTCTCGAGCGTGCGAAGCTTGACACAATGAATCCTTAGTTCAACAGACAGCGAAGCTCGTGCCAAATGCCTCTAAAGTCAGATGCTCTACCAATTTAACCCCTAATGCTGCGGAAAAAGGCGTGGCGGAAACAAAACCCCTAGTAAATTTATAATCTTCAGTTGATGTTTTTTTTTTGGGTGCCTTCCATTAGCGTTCATGTCGTGCTGTTCGCAACAGGTTTGACCCAATAGGAAGGTCATATAGCACGCTTTTGGTTGGATGCCCGATTTGAAGAGGGGGCATTCTGTATCGCAACTTTGGTATGGTTCATATGGTATGGTAGATACCTGTCCGGCTTGAGCAAAGTCTTTGAAAGGTGGGTCCAGGGTGATGTTGCGAGTCAAATGCGCCTGGTGCCGTTGTTTGTTCCAGCATCCAACTCAAGCACCACCATAACCAGGAATTTCCATCCAAAACAAAGCACACACAAACCTTATACAAAACATATCGACATCGTTCAGTACCAGGACCGTGTTTGGCACGGAACCCCGACATCATCTCCTTCATATTGACCAAAGGCATTGCATCACCAACTACAAATGTTTTGGAAACAAACAAGTGTCAATGATTCAATGCTTTGTGTTCATGGACTTCATCAACGACAGGCCGGATTTGGAGCGCTCTTTGCATATCATTTGATCAACAATGGTGTCATCATTTGTAATGCGTTGATTGCCAGGTGCTATGTCGCGCTTTGGTGAGGAGACAGCGTTTTGGGTGGTGCCTTGGCAGACGACTTTGCCAGCAAGATGGCAACACCCAAAAACAGGTATGGTACGGTGTCGATTGGGCACCAAAGTGGGCGGTGTGTCACAACATATACGGGTGGTTCTATCAACACTGAATATGCACATTTTTGCTATGCATTGGGTCCAACCCAAGCGAATGAGGTACAGGTGCCACAGCAATCCGAGCAGCGTCTCTGAATTGGAGGCTGGTTGAGGGCGCCATAGGGTAGTTCCTGCATTGAGATAGTGATGATGTAATGATGTACCCAAAGGTCTTTGTATTGTATGCAATCCTGAATGCAATGTGGAAAGTCTAGAAAGACGATGACGTCCACAATTTGTACCAGAAATGGGTTGTGTAAACCATGTCACTTGGCAATTCATTGAGTACCTCCCGTATTTCCCAACAGAAAGGGGTATCGACACATCACATTGGGGGTTATGAGGGAAAACAAGTACGCGAACAATTGCGCAAACCTAACATAAACTGCTCATTAGTTTCAGGCAAACCACGCCTCTGGCGTGGAGAATACGTCACGGTGAACGTTTTTTCCTCTTTAGTTCCTTTTTGAGGCGTCTCCTACCAACCAAGTGGAGCGACGGAAAGATGACGTCATACTTGAGCCCCCAGTGCCCTTGAAGGACCGGAAGTTGACGTCTTGCAGTTGATTCCAGTATGGCACTGCATTGCAAGACTTTAGCAGCTTGAAAGATGAGCCCAATGGATGTAGTCAGTATTGAATCATCCAGTTTGGTTTTCCTTTCAATTTGTAACCATTGACATTGGATTCATTGGATTGCCAAATCATTTGCCAACCGGACATTTTGGATGCTGGTGAAAGGGCTCAGCACCTCCAGGACGACAAGTCCATTGAGGCAATCATCGCCCGAAGTCGCCAGAAAGATCTCATAGAGCGGGTCCGGATCAAAGCTGAACTGAGTAACTCCATGCACTCAGATACCTGTGCAGTTGTTTACGGTTGTTTATGTAGGACCATGGGGACGAAATTTTGATGGTACCGGGTGGACATTGGCGAACTATTTTTGTTTGGGTGTTCATCACACTTGCAGTGCCAACATGGCAATTATTTGCACTCTTGCGGCAGAATGTTTAGGTTGGGCCGCAAGCAATCCGGTACCTTCCGTCTGAAGATCCAAACGTGACAAACCCAGTAAGTCCGGTGGTGTGGGGTGGAGTGCTGGCTGGAGTGAATCAACTTGTGACATGTGACTGAAACCATGAAAAATCCTTCATTTCCCGATGCTTCACACTTCAGGGATGTTTGAAAGTTGTTAGAGATTAGAGAGGTACGAAGAAGGAACCCAGATATAACACATGAAGGAAGCTTATGGTTGCAGCTAGAGAGGTCCAATCTTCTGGGAACATCAGGATCCAGAATGCAAAGTCGGCCGAAATTGAGCCCAATCTTCCAATATCTTTCAGGCCTTGCTCTTACCCGACAACAGGATGGGGCCTGAGATGTAATGCTGCCCCACTGTGAGCCATGAAGCGAAGGTGTAGGGAGGGTTGGCTTACCTAGAGTGCACACAATTTGGTCATGAAGGGTAGTACATCGCATGTCTTTCTGACGTCGCACCTCTTCGTTTTCAAGAAATACCTTCAGGTTGGAACCAGCAGAGCGGCGCTGGCAGAAAATTTTTGTTGCTCTGCCTTGGCTCACGTTTGCTGTCATGGTCTGGGTCTGAGTTTTTCAGGGGAGACGTCATTTGCGTGGCACTCTTGGCGGAAGACAACTGGTTGGGGCATGTTAGGGCTGTTAGGGCATCATGTGCCTGATTCGGTTGGATGATTGGCAGCAATGGGCTTTGTACCGGATCGTTCCTTGTGCCAGTTGTGGGCTCATCATCAGTATGGGAAAATGTGAGAAGTCAATGTGGGCACCATGACTTGGTGTCAGGCAATGGAACCCGTGATTTCAATTAATTCTGTGTAGGGCGTAGTGTTTGCACCTGTTTTTCGGTGCCTCATACAGATTTCCAGCTTTGCTCCCTCCCTGTGTCTAGTTGGCGGCTCCTTTGCTGCTGGTCTATGGCAATCTACCATTCTTGCAGCAACGTGCCGAGCAGCAGCGACAGGTAGGACCAAGGGTGCACGGAACTGAACGGTTGAAGTCGATAGTGCACTAAAGATAGTGCATCTGACAGAAGCAATTGCACAGATTTCTGGACTCAATTAAATCATGAAAATGAAAAGCATATAAAGGGATTCCGGGATTATTGAGGTCCTTGTGTAATCATTGAAGCCGGTGCTTTCTCTGCTGAAATAGACATCAGACCCTGGTGTTGTGCACAGGTTGCCAAGCGTCCAGCGGAGGTCAAGGTGCGCCTCAGTGGGTTTGCATCCCGTTGCCATCGCGATTGAAAGTCTCGGGGTAGCCTTGGCTTCACGTGGTACCATTTTGGATGCCCAGGTTTTGTCAGTTCGCACCTGTCCCCACAGGTCGCAGGCTTTCAGGTTGTGAACTTTGGGCAGATGCCAGGAGCCTCAATTCGTCGAGGGGGACTGGAAAACTTGTGTCCGGTGACTATCTGGTATTACGCCAGGAGAAATGGAGAAACATTCCCCATGTTGGTCTCTATTTTGAGAAGATATTCTGGATGTCCCCTGCCTGGGGTGCTTTGACCAATCATGGAACTTTACTGCTGCAGCTTGGAGGCCTGATGTACTGGAACGGCCTTTTCCAACGATGCTGCTGCTATTCCATCCAGTCTGCGCCGCAGGGTGGTCTATTTTGGTTGGTGGTGGCCCTTGGTTTTGCCAATGCACATCAATCTGTCCTTAAAATGTTGATGGTGCGGACGGGACAAGCTATATTGACCAAATACAGGGGATCCTGTTCCAAGTCTGCAATTCTATCATGTTCTATGTGGTGTGCGGGATCAATGCCTGGTGTATGCGTCGTTTATATGTATGGTTCTGTCGTAGAAAACAATCCTGGCAGACTCGTTGCATCCGAGGCGACGTATGCGTCGAAGGCCCATGGGCTGGGGAAGTCAGGAGATATCAGATATGAATTGAACTTTTCATATTTCATCGACAGTACCTGTCAGTGGTACCTTTTGACTCGCATCCTGACGATTATCAGAACTTGTTCAGAATATTTCAGGGTAGGACCTAATAAACAGTTTATGGTTTCAAAATTCATAGCCTGAAGTTGAGCTTACTAGCGTTGGGGGGAGCTCATAAGACACCTTGCTTGCGACAATGCGTCAACAAAGGACAAAGAGGACAGCTAAGAATGAACCAACCAAGCACATGAACGACAGAGGTGTTTCACATGTACCCCTCCCCTTAAGCGACCAAGGTGTTTCTACCAGCAATGCAATATTTTGACCGTGTGGAACTTACACAATTTGCAGCTTCCTGCCTCGTGCGCTTGATTTTTCATCGGGGCATATTTTGCAGTACAGGACTGACCAGTTCCGGCTGCATTTGGATGTGATAGCGATATCAATATCGCAAGGTTTTCGTTTCCTTGTATGCTCGCCACTTTTTTGTTTTTTGTTCCTCTCCTTTGGTTGCACACCGATGATCTGTTGGGTACTGCAATCAAGAGTCAATTCTTGGTTGGTTGAATCCCAAGTGGATGTCAGATGTACAAATTCCCCTTATCCTCGCATCAGATCGCACGCTTTCGTTGGTGAAATCCACAATTTCAGCCAGTTGAGTTGAAATTTCCAAATCTTGTTGGCTACACCCACACAAAAACTACATAAAACTACTGGAACCACCCAGTTTTTATCACCCTTGAGTCATCATCCAGCTGGTGCCACTGAGGTCTCCTAAGACAGGGTCACTTGCCGGTGAGTGTGGCGGCGTTGGACCTCACAGCCTCGTCCCAGCACCCAGGGATGTCACCAGCGGCGAATTTTCATCCAACTTTCTGTTGAAGACTGGCGATGTGACCGTGAAAATTGATAGAGTTCCTGACACTGGCTTGGGTTGCGCGCGCGCGCACACAGATATATGAATGTATATATTTATAGTATATATATATATATATGTATAGTACATATATTATATATATATAGAACTAAGGATAACCATAGACATACATTTGGGGTAAAGACGATCTATACTGAGAGTTTATGAACTTGATGCGTGACATGCGTGACATCAGATATGTTTAAGACGTTTCTCTTTCACTTCGCGCCGAGACCTGTACCGCCGGATTCCTTCATGTGGCAGTACCCAGGAGTCCTGACCTCACCTTTGATCGAGTCGGTGTGAAAAATTGCAGGAACATGCAGGAACCTGTGAAAAACCCATTTTCCAGTAGATTTGTCCCTGACGTTACCAACCCAGCGAAACTTGCAGCCTGGCGTGGCAAGGCTGGAGCTCCGCACTTGCAGCTGATCCTCCCAAGATCCATGGACGGGGAGGCGAAAAACCCGGGTGACTAGGTGATCAGGTGTTAACTGGGCAGCTTCCTGGCTAGGGGGTCTCGATGGGTCTCGTTTGATTTTTCAGATACCTATAGATTTGGTGCAGATCCTGGAGGCTGGAGTGGTCGACTACGATGGCTTGTGGAGTTCTCGCGCCTTGAGCGCAGCAGCTTGTGGCTGGGGTCCAAGAATCACCAGTGCCAGTGCCAGTGCCGTGAGCATCAGATCATCATATCATCAGAAGAACGATCATCATTCACAAAATGATTATCATTAATCATAATGACTATAATGACAATGATTTGGTTATCAATGTCAATGTGAAGCAAATCAACAGCAACAATCACCCCAAGATGATATGAAAGACCACTCTGCCCAAGTTTGACCACAGCCCTCTCCCTAAGCCTAGGCTTGGCAGGCCCAGCAGCAGAGCTGCCTCCAGAGGACATCAATGCAGTTGGGAAGGCATTGAAGGCTTTTCCTATTTGTTGATTTTGTTGAGATGCTGAATGCCCCTGCCCTTCCATACTGTTCTATTCGTCTCAGCAGGTAAGTCTAGTCTAATGGATAAACTGCACTCGCTGTAAAGGTATGCACGTTGATGAAGACTGGCACTTGGGGTTTTGTGGCTGCAGGAGGTTGAAGCACTCGGATTGAAGATCCAACGCATGCGAGACCTGCTTTTTGACTTGCTCTTTTTGGAGGTGCCAGGGAAGTTGGTGTGAGCTGACCGAGGTGCCAACTTGTGCCAACTAGTCATTTACTGGCATACCCAACGACCGGCCAGGAGCCACAGCCAGTGCAGGCTCACCCTGGGCAGACGATTGGCCCCAAATCGGGCGCTCTGATACAAAAAATGACCAGCCATTTGCAGCATTGCAGGCCTCCCGATGGCAGCGCTGGTTTGGACGCCAGGTGCTTCCAGATGCTGGATGTGATATATACTGTAGATCTATCTATCCAAAATCTATATAGTCTAATCCACTCTAATCTATCTGTTGGCCCCGTGAATACCATGATTTATGATCATTAAGGGCATATCTTGATCTGTTTTACGATTTCAGATCAGGCCATCAAGGTGAAAGACATGTGTGACATGTGCAGGATGCTGCCGCGACGGAGCGCCGGCGCCGGCAGGCTGCGAGCCAGATTTCGATAGATAGGGGTCAAAAGACACAGAACATATGATACAAATATGAGACATAAACCATCAATGCAACACTACAGATGTAATGCCATGTAGTACACACAGTCTGTTTTGATCTTTTGGTGAGGATGTAAAGCAAGTCGCTGGGTCTTGGTCCACGTCTACAGGTGGTGCAGGAACTTGTAGATGGGATCGACATCCACAGTGGCAGCTTGGCGGTTGGGGGAAGTGCCTGTGATTTGCCCTTGGCCCCATTGTGGTGCTTTCCTTTGATGACAGATGTTGTTTATCATTACCAATCATAGAAACATGACATTTTTATGGTATGTTATGGTATGTTGCGGTTCTTTTGTGATATTCAGATATTCAATATACCGTGTACTGGGATATTCCCCTCAAGAGCCGGTTGAAGCATTGCGTAGGACTGAGTTGAATACACTTGCAGCTGCAGCTTTTGGTTTCTAAGTCCAAGGCAAGCAGCACGGTAGATTTCACAAGCACAAGATAAGATATATAGCCATTCTGGCAGCAGGCTGCACAGGTCGTAGACATGGTTGGAACTGAGCCTCGGAGCCTGCTTGTGCCTGACCTTTGCAAATTTGACCTCTGACAAGTGTTCTGATGCTTTTGCCCGCCATGATGAACCTTCCCAAGACTCTCCACCTGCGATAGCACCACGTGCTCACATCATTTGCCCGCCGCCATGGGAGTAACTTTGGGCACCGCCGGCAGTGTGAGCGTCTATGGCTGCGGCTGTCTCTCTGGGGCCTTGCTGGCCATGTCTTCTTTGAAGCGGCGCCATGAGGACGTGGAGCCTGAAAAATGGACAACATATTCTTGATGGAACACACACAGAGACGCAGGCGGATAGCTAGCTAGGCTAGATAGCTGGATTGGATTGGACTGTATTTGATTGAATTGCATTATATATTATATACATTAGATGATTAGATTGATAGCACAACTTGTTCTTAGCTGCATCCTGCCGCAAGTTTCAGGAGGAGCTGGTGGAGCAAATGGCCTGCCGCGCGCTGACCACCAACGATTTCGCTGTGGAAGAGGCTGCCGATGCGGGTGATGCTGCCTTGCTGCCATGTGAAGACCTAAGACTAGAGTGGAAGTCATTTCACTTTTCGCTTTGACCAGTAGGATGTTGGAAGATAAACGCAATAATGTAACCTGACATGCAGTGCCACTCTTTGCCAGGAATGCCAGTGGTTGCACAGCCTTCTGGCGATCCTTTGGCCACGAATAGACAAGTTCCTGAAGGAAGCTTAGATGCAGAAGTCTGGAAACATGTGGTGCTTGCAGGCTTGCAAGTGTCCAACAAAAACTCTGAGGGACCTCCCGGGCTGGCTTCCCAAAAGCCATCTTGAATTGAGTCAATGATATAAAGATATACAAAGTTTAACGCTAGGGTACTCCATGAAACCTCACGTTTTTCTTTCTAATATTGATATTAATATATATATATACACGTATGATATACTCATCTATCTGTCTGTCTGTCTGTCTTTCTGTCTATCTACCTATCTATCTTATCTTATCTTGTCCTGTCCTATCCTATCCTATCCTATCCATCATAGTCACAGCCATAAATTGACGCATCCCCATTTTGCGACCCCATTTAGGGGCCCCAAAGTCTGTGAATCTCCCATTGAAATCCCTTTGAAGGGAACTCATCCAATTTCCGCGGCAGGAGCTAGTCCAAGAGCAGATCTTGCCGGAGATCGACAAGCAGCTCCCCAAGATGCTGCGCGGCAGCGTGAGCTTCCCCAAGGCGTCTTGTGATTTGGCCATTGCTGGTGTGTCAACCCCTGCATAAACTCCAAAAAAATGATGTATGTAGGGCTAGTTTTAAGTTGGACTCAAAGCTGCGTCGGATTGTTTCAGGAACTCCCCGCCGGCTTACCATCATAGCTTCAAATTTCAAAAAGGCCGTTTCTGACTGCCTTCAATCTTCCACCTCCTTGGGTTTGCTGGCCACAGGTGGACCTGGGGAAAGCGATTCCGCACTTCCGCAACATCGCTCTGAGGGAAAACAGCGATCAGGTGGGGTGGCTGGGGCTGCCAGGTGGAGGGGTGGAGACTTCTCCGTAGGATGAGGATTTGGAGACTGAGAGGGCTGCATCGTGGCCATCAGATGATGCCTGGGCCTGGGCATAACTCACGCTTTCAGGGACCAACAAAAACGAAGCAGTTGCAGCAACCGTTTCTTGCAAACATTTTGAGGCCCCCCCAGCTGCCAGGGCATTCTGTTGGAGGTAACCATAGACTTGGCCTCTGACATGGATGTGCAGATCAAGGCAATGAAGGTGCCTCAGGGGGTGAATCTGTTCCGAATCCACTCAGCGGCCTGTCGAATGGAGGAATGGGAACATATTATGAACATATGTTATCATATGTTCCAGCCACAAAATGGGAAGATCATCCGAAGCCAGAAGCATATCATGTATGGCAGCGACAAGCCTTGCTTTGGGTGCCCATCCTGCTGGAGCTGAGGTGCCCATTGGCGTGAAGCGCCTCAGCATCTCTGGGCAGTTGAACGTGCTGTTCCACCCAGCGTCTCCCAAACCGATTCTTGGATGGAAAAATGAAATGATAGAAAATTATGAAACCATCCAATTGGTTATGCGTTGGTTGTCATTCTTTGGCTAAAAATATAGTATCCGCTTAGTATCCCATGTGTTCCTGGGTTGTATTTATTCGCTTTTGGGAGTCCAGTGGGTCCTGCGGGGTAGGTCTGCCGCAGGCCCTTCTTCGCCGGGGTCACCGTTTTCTTCGTTGACGCTCCGGAGTTGGACATGGACTTCACTGGCGCTGCAGATTTCGTGGACCTGCCGGTGATTCGCTCGGTGGTCAGGTGCCGATTTGGGGGTTGAGGTCAGTTGAGGTGGCTGGGATTTGGGGGAAGGTTGGGAGGTTGGAAAATCACAACATATCCTGCCTTTCTTTCTTGGTGGGCATCCTTCGACACATGCAACACATGATTCCCAATGAACTCTTTTTGTGTTCACATGCACAATCACAGATGAAGGCAGGGAGGGAGGGAGGAAGCAAGGAAGGCAGGAAGGATGCATGGTACCACGAAATCACATGTTTTGGAACCTTTGAACACTTTGACTTTATTGGGTTTGCATTTAATTTGTTCAAAGGTCTGCATTTAATTTGTTCAAATTAAATGCCCAAATATATTGACATGATGCAGGTCGATTTCTGATAGCTCCATTTTTGCTGGTTCTTAGTTGTGTCTTTTGGCGATCCTTCATTCAAAAGGACTTGGGCTGCCCACCTTCAACCCGGAGGTCCACCATCCTGGACGCAGTGCGGGGCATCGCCGTGCTCCCTGCTCGCGTGGCCGTGGATCTCAATGAGGACGATGACACGGACCAGGCAGGGTGAGGAATTTTGAACCATGAGGCCAGTTCTATCCAGTTCTCTTTTCCCCGATTTTCGATCTCAAAGTGAGGCTGACCGCCAGCCCAGGCGGATCTCAGCTATCCACCCCCCAGAGGGGTCCTGAGGGTATTGGTGAAGAGTGGCTCGCAGCTGCGGGCCGCGGATCTGAATCTCAGTGGTGCTTCCTCCGATCCCTACGTGGTGATCGAGGTTGGTTCAAGTTGAGGGTTTGAGGTGGGGATGGGTCGAAATTTAAGCCCTATTTGGGGTACCTAATTTTGACCTATATTCAGGTGGAATGATGGGGAATGAAGTTCTGTCCAGATGCATTTCAGATTTTCGGATTTCAGTTTGAAATTCTTGTTCGGCGGCAGGTTGGTGGCCCATTGTTTTGACAGTGCACGTCCTTGCACAGTGCTGAGGTCGGGCAGCAGAGATGGCAATCTAGCGTGATTGAAAAGAGAGCCTTGGATGTGAAACTATAATTAGTCAGATACAACAAACTCCACTTAAAAGTTGTTGTAACCAACTATCTGGGCATTTTTTCATCACTTTTTGTATGGGCCCAACTTGCTTCTGAGTGGCATTATGGGAGGTGAAGCTTGGGCAGATGGTGGGACGACCCCCAATTCTTGAAGCACGAACCAGTTCCAAAATCCGCATAAAGCCTAAGGCTTGTCATGGCGGTCCCATTCACCGCGGCAGCTGAGCCCCAGGTTTGAACCCTGTGTGGGAGCATGGCAACGTGGTGGATTTGTTGGTCTACGAGCCACAGCAGAAGGCTCGCATCTCTGTCTTCGATAAGGACCCTGTGCCCCATGGCTGCTGACAGTGCACAGGTGGAAGCTAATAAACTAAGTCCAACACCCAACCAGAGGTCTGCGCCAGTGTTGCGGGTCAGGTTTTTGAAGCTGAAAACCATTCATCACCATTGACAGAGCTGGGGTAATTCTGGGGCTGTTTTCGATAGCACCCAACTTGAAATCTGCTGTCAGCTTTTGATTTGTTGCCAGGATCGCTTCAGCCAGGACGACTTGCTGGGAACTGCCAAAAGCATCCTCTTGGAGCCCTTTTTGCAAGCGAAGGTGCGAAGATGGTGCTTAGGGGATTGGTCAAGGAAGGGGAAAAAAGTGGGGCACTCTGGTGAGTGTATGCTGGTATGCCACGTTGCTAGGGTTTAAATAAATGATGGTAATTGTGTTGCTGTTGCCGCCTTTTTCATTTTTTTTGCGGTTCTTGGCTACATTTAGTAGCAAAATTCATTCCTGCCTGCTGTTTTGGTTGCCAGTTGGTGCAACTGTAACCCAGCTCAGGAGCCGCTGGATTTCGTCTTGCCATTGCAGCATCAAGGTGCGAAGTGATCGAAGTGGGAATTGGGCTGTGGGTATGAGCACGAGTCTAAGAAGGGGAGGACCACAGATTGGGCAATTTTTGCAGTAAACTATCTCTTTCTTGCTTTCTATTACGCTCTGTTACCACATTGCATTGCTTAAACCGACTTAAATTCCAATCTTCTGTTGCTTCATCGGCTTTCCCCAATTTCTGGTCAAAACTTTCACTTTTCTCCGTAAATCCATGGCCATGGACGGAAGCCAGGTAAAGCAGCTGGGACGCTGACCATCAGCTGCCGATGGTTCGAGCTAAGTTCGCAGGCGCCACGGAGCTTCCCCAGTCCAGTGGCGCGGGGACCCTCGCAGCTGCTGTTGGTGGTGAAGCTGAATGGTGCCGTGGCCAGGTGGCTGTTTCATATCGTTCAAAAAACGAGAGAGACACATTTTTGTACCGGTTGATCTGATCGATCTCCCTACGATATCCTCTCCTACCATGATTTTTAATAAATCACCTGCCGACTCCTCAATCGAAACTGTGGTGGAATCTATTGGATCGAGTTGTGAATGGGGGGCCTGTTGAAGGGAATTCAGAGAAGTTTATGGGGATTGCCTAAGGGGATCCTGAAAAGGATGCGGCTTGAGGAGCTAAGAATGGGAAAGAGCCTGGAAAAGACGAGGAGGTGAAATAAAGGAACGGCACGGATATGAGCATATGGTCCTGGAAAAGGCATATATGGCATAGAAGGAATGACACCATTTGTGGGTGCTGCTTCTAGGAAGGGCAGCAGCTGAAATCCATTGGTCTGGTTTTGCAAAATTTTGCAGGAGGCACAGGATCAGAGCAAACCTTTTCTGTGTGGGACACTGACCAGGGTAACCCAAGAATCAAATGGTCTGTGGCAACTCAGGCATTTGCGACCTGCCGCAGAGCTACAAGCCGCCGTTTCAGGTGAACATCACCTGCCACGATCACCACATGCATTCCAAGAAGAGCTCCCCTCCAGGTGAGGTGGTGGGAACCGAGTTCGCGGGGCCAACTGGGATCACTTGACAGGTCCAGAGCTTACTTCGGTGTTGACAACTTTGTTTTACATCCTATGAGCACACGAATATGAAGTGGATTTTCTGATATTTCCTGCAGCTACCACAGCACACAGACAACAGATTTCCCCTCTCACTTGAACGGGTCATTCCCGTCCATTTCTCGACATTCTTGATCCAAGATTTCGCAGCATTTATGAAAACCACAGCGAACCCCAATATTCTTCAGAATTTCCTAGTAACTTGCTATATTTTACATATTGTACCATTACCTTAGGATTTACTTTTCTATCCGATGATCCTTGGGCGTTGCTATGACCTGACTCACAGAGGTCAGATCCGGCCCGTGGCTGATGAAGTGGCGGACATCGCGCGTCGCCTGCAGCGCGCTAAGCACAGCTTGCAAGACATCTCGGAAATCACCGGTTTGGAGCGGGGCTGGGCGGTATCCAGGCAGGAAGTGGTTGATATCTATATCAGCAACCGCCTGAAAGATCTAAAAGATGGAAAAGGACAATCCTTTTGAAATAGTGGCAAATGGCTTTTCTATATTGTCTATTTTTTGTGGGTTGCGATCATATACGACACAAACAAAATTACAAACATTGTGGGCTCAGCCAGCTCCGAATGCACATCCAAGTGGACCATGAAGGGGGGACTTGGGGGCGCATGCGAGGTAAAAAGAACGTGTATGAATGTGGATGAACCTAACACAGATTCATCAAGAAAGATAGCGATGGATGGATGTGGTAATGTTGTGGTATTGTATGGTATTGTTGGTATTGTATGGTATTGTATGGTATTGTATGGTATTGTACATCTTGGTGTTTTTTGTTGAAATGGGGATATGACGACTGCCATCTCCAGGAGCCTCAGGCTGTGAAGCTGGCGGTGGCACAGGACTGCTCTGAGAGCTTCGCCAAAGCACGGGAGCAGTCGCTGAAGGAAATGAGCGCCACTCATCCGGAATTTAACCAGATCCTCTACAAGCCACCTGGCAGCCATTCAGAATTGGACTGGATTGACTCTTCTTTCTTGGGGGTGGTTTTCCCGCAAGTCGAGCATCACAATTTGCCAAATTGGAGTGGCATTGGCTGAATATAGAGCCATTCCAGTCCTGACTGATGGCCCCTGATGGCTGCAGGTTGTTACCGTGGACTACGCCAGTGAGTCAAGCAAAGGTTGTTCTGACTCTGGTGGATCGGTCGGATAAGCCCATCAGCAAACCCATTGCGACGCTGGGAGCCAGTGCCAGTTGGTTCGATGCGGTTGAGGGTGCTATGGGATGCTACGGGTAGGTTCAAATGTTATGCCATGAGATGTTGGCATAGTGGAAATCGGGCCTTGCTTCATTCATGGGTTTTGGGTACACGACACGCACATTTTTGGTTTCCCAGAAAGTTCTGGAATGGATTTGAGGCATCGCTATCGAACAATCGCTGAAGAGAACTTGGATACCCTCTCTAGCGATCAAAGTTAAACTTTGCGACTCAGGGGCTCCAGCTCTGGGTTTTCGGTTCAGTGATTTCAGGGAACCGCCACTTTCGATCCATAGCCAGCCCAGGAAGCCGCTGTCCGCTGCGGTGGGGTCGCACATTGAGGGCGGCTTTGCGCTGAACGGTGGTGGCACGTTGAACGCAAAGATCAGCACTACTTGGCTGGCCCTTCCTAACTGAGCAGCGCGCGCCAAAAGGGCTACTGCTTTGGAGATGGAGCATGTCATGATATGGGTGTGCCTGAAAATGGGGTATACGGTATACTTGCTTACCCCCAAATGGCAATGTTACTGAGGAGAATGACGATAAACTACCATGGGATTTTGGGGCACCATATATATATATATAATTCCCAGGAAAACCTCACAAAACCGCAGGGGCTAACCATTTCCGGGAGATGTTGGGATATCCCACGCTCAGGGGGTGCGCAATTTTCATATCCACGCGGATATTCCAAACAAGGGATCTTTCCCCCATTCCCCATGGGCATCACCGACTCGTTACAGCCTGAGCAGCTTGAGGCTTGGAGGCCTTGCGGCCAGATGCGGGAAGTATGTAAAGGGAACTGATGAAGACACGGAGACTTTTGTTTTCTAAATAGTCTGGATCATATGACCTCATATGACCGTGTCTTAGTGGGGTTAGTATCAGTTGCAGCTTCACTTTCTACGATCTATCGCAGAGGAGTCGCATCATTTCATAGGTGTCATAGGGAAGTGGTGTCATGAGCACTATGTGAACAAGGTTCCTATAGGTGGCATTAAGGTTGATAGAACATCATGTTTGGTTTAGTCAAACCATGTTCAACAATTGTTCCGTTAGCCAATCAAGCGCTGCACATCGGTAAGGATCAGATTTGTTTTTTGGATGGTATCCTCAAATAGTAGCGATAAACACATGTTATAACCAAGCCATTGAGGGTTGAACGGACAGGCAGCAATTGCATCCTGCGAAGCTGCGCTGGCGAAGCTTCGCGAGGTGCAAGAGATCTTTTTTTGGGCACAGCGTCACTAACCAAAAATGGGGGAAGGCCTAAAGTAGCAATTTTCAGGGCTTTTTTAAGGGAAACTGACATAGTTTCACCATCAATGAGGTCCTTGTATAGTTTCACCAGCACAATGATATAGTTCGACGCCAGTTGGATTGATTTGGCGACGATTTTTGGCCAGGGGCCAGGCCAGGGCTGTAGTGTGATCCCCAGAAAAAGGTGACAAGAGCTACCAACATGCGGTAACATGCTAACACGACCGTAGAATTTGTGCAACTTGACTGTTCAAAGATGGGGACGGGGATAGGTCAAAACACTATACTATAGATTACTATACATATATCATATTTGGGAGGAGGAACATCCATTTACCATAGCATGAGACCAGCCGCTTCTACCGCAGGCATGAACGAACGGTCATCTCATGAGCGGTGGCTTCTCACTGCTGGTGACGGTCGTGGTCAGGTGGAAAAAAGGAGCCGCCGCCCTACCATCACCGCCAATTCAATGCTGGAGAATTTTGGCGTTGAAAACGTCGACTGCTCCTGTTCCCTGGAAGCTGTTCGGCGCATTTTTGGTTCACAAGCTCAAGCCAAGACATAGTAGGCACATGCCGTACATGCCATCGAACGACCTGAGCGGAAGCTTAGACGCACCAATGGCCAGGCAAACAGCAGAGGTTTTACCTGCTACTCCATGCCACCCTCGTTGGGGAGATTCAATGATCAGGTAACATCATATAATCATATATGTTTGTCTAAGCATGGGGCACAGGGATACGCCAAAATTGTAAGAATAATAGGAAAACAAAGATAAACTTTGGGGACCAATAGGTTTCTAGGGGCGCTCCATTTGAGGAAACCCATGCGACCATGAGCCTAGCACCACTAAAGCCATAGAAGTTCAGTGGCATCATGCGCCAGTAGCAGCGTAGGGATGGTGGGCCCTGGGGTTGGCGGGTATTGCTCCCGCAGTGGTGGCAGCCATCGCCTTTGGTGTGCAGTATGTCCCTGTGAAGAAGTACAAGTCTCTTGGCCTATCTTGTCGTATTTATATATATATATATATCTATATATAAATAAATTATATAAAGAAATAACAATATAAATATGAATAAATATATAAATAAATTAATGAATAAATAAATAAATATAAATAAATTAATGAATAAATATAAATAAATTAATAAATAAATAAATAGATAAATAAATATATACTGTGTATATATATCGCCGGGTTGTGCATTTCTGGATTCTGGATGAATCGTCAAGCATTATCATTTACTGTATATAGCCATATATTGTATATCCACGTTTCAAAGAAAAGTAGTCATGATATAGCAACAAAGTGAGAGATAACTTCAGTGAATGCAGAGCAATTCGGGCCTAGAGAGTAGTCCAGTGCCATTCCCGAAGAATGAGAACCAGCCACCTGCTGACACAGATGGGGACCCTGCATTTGGGCACTACCGGCCGCTGAAAACACCAGGATTTATGATGGGACTACTTTTCAGCAGCTTGCCAGCACCTGAGCACACTGACATGACAAGAAGACCATGTTGTCGGAGGCCTGCCGGCGGTGCACAGGCCTCAGTATCTCCTCGTCTTGCTCGGCTGGCCGTTGATTTTTTGGGGAGCATTGAGCATGGGGATGGTTCCTCGAATGGATCGATCTCTTGAGCTATCGACGAAAACACACATTGGATCTAATGGAATCTATTCATCTGATCCTTTTCGCTCCAATAGTCTGCAGTTCATGGCCCCATCTCAGGTGGTTCATGTGCTCGGGCATCTTGTTCGTGGGGCTCCTTGCCGCCCTTCTGGATGGGGACCTGCAGCTGGGTGTTCCACCGAAGGTGGTGATGGGTGGGGCCCTCTGGGCCTTCTCCAACTTCGTCCCTTGGTGCTGGGAAAGGTTTGGCGCAATGCCGGTGGTTTCACGGGGTTGAGCCATGCAGATGTACAGAGTCAGCGTGAGAAAAAGGAAGTGAGTTGATAAAGTGCTGTCTTTGAGCCATCATTTGGATGTGAGTGGGCTGTGGCGCGCTCACCAGCCCAACCCTTCCCATGACCCCGGTTGGGGGGCAGAAACTTGAGGCTGTTCTGCCCTTGGTGAAGTTGCTGGGTATTGGACTGGGCTTCTCCCTGTACCATTTCCAGAACATGATCGTAGGCGCGGCGAGGGGACGGTGCACAATCGTGAGCCATGGATGATGGATGACCCGGATGGTTTTCAAGATGCTGGGTGCCCTTGCAGGCTACGTGGTGGGTCGAAATGGCTTCTTTGGGGTCCCAAGCTTGCAAGCGGCATTTCCAGGCAGCCCCTTGGCCAGGATCGTTTGATTGTGGTTGTTGTGTTGTTGGTTCAGATTCCAACAGCAAGTGCCTGCCAATCAGAATGCTGGCCTAATAATTGCTCCTTTTTGGTTGGTTGCTCCACCTCTTCGAAGCTGGGTGGGAAGAATGATCAAGTTGAATGGCTCCAAGGCCTCTACATTTGCGATCTTGGCTGTGGGCTGATCTTGGTCTCTTTTGCCAACGGCTTAGAGGGTCAACGGATGGTGAATCAATTTGATGGTTTGTTGCTGACCACTTCTGTCAGACAACACAAATGTTCTATATATTTAGAGCTGACGCTCATCGTCGGCTCCGCCGGATTACTTGACCTCGATGTCGGCTAGAAAGCGGGGAAGGCGTGTTCCCGAAAGCTCCTGCGAAGGTTTTTTTCCCAAAGATTTGCTGCCAATTTCAACTTTCCACTTCGTGTAAAAGCGCCTCTGTGTAAAAGCTTCTGGGTGTAAAAGCATCTGCGTGTAAAAGCTTCTCTGTGTAAAGACTGTAAAGACTTCTCTGTGTGAAAGCTTTTGTGACTCTTGTGTGTAAAAGGTTCTGCGTGTGAAAGCTTCTCTGTGTACAGGCTTCTCTCTGTAAAAACTTCTGTGTGTGAAAGCTTCCGTGTATAAAAGCGCTCTCTGTAAAGACTTCTTTGTGTAAAAGTTTCTGTCTGTACACGCGCCTGTGTGTTAAAGCTCTCTGTGTACAGACTTCTTTGCGTAACAGCGTCTGTGTGTAACAGCTTCTGTGAGAAAACGCCCTTGTGTGTAAAAGCTCCTCTGTGTAAAGGCTTCTCTGTGTAAAAACTTCTGTGTGAAAAAGCTTCTGCGTGTAAAAGTTTCTCTGTGTAAAGACTTCTCTGTGTAAAAACTTCTGTGTGTGAAAGCTTCCGTGTGTAAAAGCTCTCTCTGTAAAGACTTCTTTGTGTAAAAGTTTCTGTCTGTAAACGCACCTGTGTGTTAAAGAGTTTGGCGCTGGGCGGGCTGCTATCTACCAAAATGCTGGCAAAGGGCGCTGGGAATGGCGCCGGGAAGGGTTGAATGGCGCTGCGCGGGCTACTGCCTAACGTTGTTTAATGTTTAACGCCACTTTTCCTCGGGCGCGCTCCTCCTGCAGATGGCTGGGGTCGGCGAAATGAACTGATCAGCCAGACAGGCATTGTTCGCAGGGGTGCCACATGAGCATCTTGCATTTGCCCAAGGAAGCAGCTCAATCCGAAGCTGATTCAAATCCAGAAGCGGCCGCCAAGGCGCGCGGAGTGTGTGCACCGCCCTTGTTTCGCTTGGCTTCCTTCTTGCCAATCCTTCATTCTCATCATCCGGTTATGTCAACGTGGGTGTAGGTTTCAATCAGCGCCTTCTTGCCCTGTCTCAAATTTGGGGGACCCTGCGACCATTGCAACGATACTTCTTGAAATGGCAATAGGAATATCCCAGGGAATCTGCCAGCCTACTGGCCTAATTTGCCAGAATGCCTTCTACGGTGCAGCTGTTTGTTTTCAAAGGCCAAGGCTGCCAAGGCTGTTTGAATTCATGACAGAGGCCTTCTAGTTTTTCTTCTGTTGAGAGACACACAGTTGTTCATCCAAAACAAAACTGCAAGTTCGTGACCAAAGAGTATAAAGAGTGCCACGGGATGGATTCCCCAAACTCCGAGAGCAATGTCCCTGAAACTCCAGGAAACGACCTTTCGACTGGATGGCGCAGAATCGGAGATCAATAAGGCTGCAGCTCTCAAAATAGTGAAGGACTCTCGGACCAAGTTAATCAACCAAACGGAAGGTCTGGAGAAGCGTTTCACCATCACATGTTGGAGCTATTGAAAATTATTGAACTTTGTTTATATGAACTGATCAGCCAGACAGGCATTGTCCGCAGGGGTGCCACATGAGCATTTTGCATTTGCCCAAGGAAGCAGCTCAATCCGAAGCTGATTCAAATTCAGAAGCGGCCACCAAGGCGCGCGGAGTGTGTGCACCGCCCACGTTTCGCTCGGGTTCCATCTTGACTATCCTTCATTCTCATCATCCGGTTGTGTCAACATGGGTGTAGGTTTCAATCAGCGCCTTCTTGCCCTGTCTCAAATTTGGGGGACCCTGCGACCATTGCAACGATACTTCTTGAAATGGCAATAGGAATATCCCAGGGAATCTGCCAGCCTACTGGCCTAATTTGCCAGAATGCCTTCTACGGTGCAGCTGTTTGTTTTCAAAGGCCAAGGCTGCCAAGGCTGTTTGAATTCATGACAGAGGCCTTCTAGTTTTTCTTCTGTTGAGAGACACACAGTTGTTCATCCAAAACAAAACTGCAAGTTCGTGACCAAAGAGTATAAAGAGTGTCACGGGATGGATTCCCCAAACTCCAAGAGCAATGTCCCTGAAACTCCAGGAGACGACCTTTCGACTGCATGGCGCAGAATCGGAGATCAATAAGGCTGCAGCTCTCAAAATAGTGAAGGACTCTCGGACCAAGTTAATCAACCAAACGGAAGGTCTGGAGAAGCGTTCTACCATCACATGTTGGAGCTATTGAAAATTATTGAACTTTGTTTATATGAACTGATCAGCCAGACAGGCATTGTCCGCAGGGGTGCCACATGAGCATTTTGCATTTGCCCAAGGAAGCAGCTCAATCCGAAGCTGATTCAAATTCAGAAGCGGCCACCAAGGCGCGCGGAGTGTGTGCACCGCCCACGTTTCGCTCGGGTTCCATCTTGACTATCCTTCATTCTCATCATCCGGTTGTGTCAACATGGGTGTAGGTTTCAATCAGCGCCTTCTTGCCCTGTCTCAAATTTGGGGGACCCGGTGACCATTGCAACGATACTTCTTGAAATGGCAATAGGAATATCCCAGGGAATCTGTCAGCCTACTGGCCTAATTTGCCAGAATGCCTTCTACAGTGTAGCTGTTTGTTTTCAAAGGCCAAGGCTGCCAAGGCTGTTTGAATTCATGACAGAGGCCTTCTAGTTTTTCTTCTGTTGAGAGACACACAGTTGTTCATCCAAAACAAAACTGTAAGTTCGTGACCAAAGTGCCACGGGATGGAGACCTCACAACCCCGGAAGCACTTGAGGCTACCTCTCCATTGACACTCCGTGGTTCGTGGGTGTGGGATACTTCTGCCAACACTTCCAAAGCAGATATTGGCAAGCTTCGCTTCGACCCCTTGGAGGCTTGGCACTCATGTTGCCAATCCAGCTGGACTTGTAACGTACTCATGACATTTGTGCAGGTGCTCCGAGCACATAAAGCATTTACTCGTGTTGGCTGAGCCAACACTTTCAGGTTGAAGATATGCATTAGGGCATGTGGTAAATGCATATATGGTCAAATATTGGCCCTATTTGGCTACCGATGATCTATTCTTTTTCAGCATACATCAGTACACGTCAAAACCCGCACCTCGTCGTATGAGCAATGCGAGGGAAGGAACTGAGGATTTGAACATTTGTCAACTTTCGCCAGGTACCTGTATAACAAAGAATAACATATGGGTTTCCAGGTTGAGTTCAATGCGGTGCTGACATCAACTATTTTGCGCTTTGTCTAATGTGCAAACGTGCAGAGGCTTGGCTTGTGACCGTAAATCTCAGCTCATGGTGTTCGCTACTGATGACACAGCATCACGCATCACTCCTGGTTGGCTACGCCACCGGGAAGCGATACACACAAGTAGGAGCAGGGCCTTGGGCGGGCAAAGTGGAATGGGATGGCTGGAACGATGTTGGGTGGGAGGCGGAACGACAAAAAAACGTTTGGGGTTCTTTAACTGCGTGGCAGCTAATTGTGGATAGGATTGGGCAATATTGCACATTCATGTCCGCCTTCTTTGGTCTAGACAGGGCCAGGTATGATAGAAAAACAAGGTCTCTTTGGGCAAACGTCAGTCAGTGGCAAAAACCGTGCTTTTTCAAGTAATTTATCGGAGAGTTTTGGGCTCTGAAGCAAGCAGTGTTGGAAGGAAAATCCAACGGAAAATGATCAAAACCCATGCATTTTTTTGATTGTTTCATTTATCGCAGAGCTTTTGGCTCTGGAGCCAGCTGTCTTTCGATGAGAAAATCCCATGCGTTTTTTTAAAATTAATTTAGTTATTTGCATGGTTTGGGCTCTGGAGCCAGCTATGTTTCAATGGGAATCTAATGGAAAATGGTCAAAACCCATGCGCTTTCCTTAATTTTTGTGATTATTTTAAAGTATATTTTAGTTATTTCCAAAGGGTGGACCATTTCCTGCACATAGCTCCTACCAATTCTTAGGATAAACATGGAAAAACAATGGAGACATTTTTTTTAAAACAGAACTGGGCCTCCTGGGAGTGCAGTTTTCCTATGATTTAAGATAATATTTTGAGAGGTTTTGCTGCACTCCCAGATGCATTCTTACACAACAATTTGACACAGGCCACTCAAAATTACTTCCATACTCTTTGGAGGGTGGCCCCAAAAATTACTTCCATACTCTTTGGAGGAGGACGAAACCTAAAAAAACAAAAAACACATTGGACAAACCAAATAAAAAACAAACACATGGAAAAAAACACTAAAAACAAAAAACAACAATATTTCCAGACTCTTTGCAAAGAGGGGGTCTAGACAAGAGTCCCTGATTTTTTTTGTGCTTCCAATGTTTTTTTGGTTTTCTATTTTTTTGTGTGTTTTTTTTGCTTTCTGGGGTGGAAGCTTGATTTGTTATTTTCTAAAGGAGGAAGGCCTTATCTAATGGAGTAGATGGCCCTGTTTGTGTATTCACGTCGCTTCGCGACGGCAACCGCCCGCACCGCATCGTTGGGCAGCCGCTCGTAACTGCCAATGATGTCGGCCATTGAGACCAAAAACATCCGAAAGTACTGATTGTCGGAAAAAAACACGCGAAGAATTTGATAGCCATGTATAGCGGACCAACGCAGTTCAAAAAATAACGAAAAACATGAAAAAACGACGAAATTGCTCTTATTTACAGTGTTTTTGCGCGGTGAGAAGCAGAAACCACTGCAAATACCATGGTTTTTGAGGGTCAAGTGGCCAAAAACACTGTAATTTACAGTGTTTTTTTAACCAACGTCAAAAAACACTGGTATTTACGATGTTTTCATTCACACCGTAACATAAAACAGCGTAATTACGAGGTTTTTGGAAGTTTTGCAGCTAGCCGTCAAGCATGCAGAAAACAGAAAAACACTGTAAAAACAAGTGTTTCTGCTATCACAAAACGACGAAAATCAGTCCGAAAACGGGTCCAAAAACTCAAAAATCCGCCTCCGGGCCCGGCCACCTGCGGAACCGCAAAAAAAGATGTTGCAAACCAAAAAATTGAGGTCAAAAAGTTGAAAAACACGGTTTTTTTTTACTTTTCGCTTGCCGATTTTGGACGGGCGCGTTCACGAACAGGTGTCTTCCGTACTGTTTTTTACAGTGTTTTTTGAAGGCGAGCGTCACGACCTATCAAAAACAGGAGGTTTTGGCCGAAAAATGCCCCCCCCCCAGGTAAACCTGTAACCTTTTACGAGTGCCATCCGGAAGATCACGCCCCAGCACCTTCGGTGCGGGCGGATTTTGTTTCTAAGCAAGGAGTGTCACCAAAGGAATAAAGCAATATTGCATCATATTGCATTTTTTTCAAGGAAACTTGCATAAAGGCATGCCGCACTGTCCTCCAGGAATACAATGGTCTCTTAAAGTGCAACTGCTTAACGCCTTTTCAAAATAATGCTCGACTTTCTGCATTATTCTTGTTCAAATGACCATTCCATGGAGTCATACTGCTTTTTCTTACAGAAACATCACCCTGTTTCGAATGGATTGCCATATACAAAAGGGTTCCCTTTAGTACAAGAACTTAAACAATGCCATACTCTTTCACAAGGACTGCTGTGTGTCCTGAAGGCTACTTTCTCAAAGGAATGTCACACACTTTTGAAAGCAATACTGTGTATACATGTAAAATAATTAACACATTTCAATAAATGAATTATGTTATTTCCCCACCTGCCAGGTGAGGGTTGTTAGATTTTATCAGAGTTGTTCTCCTCCTCCTTCTTCTCCTTCTCCTTCTCCTCCTTCTCCTCCACCACCTCTGCCTTCACTTCCATGTCCACTTCCGCCTTGCCAACTCTTCGCCAAGCTCTTCGCCAACTTCCGCACGCAGTGGGCACTGGACCTCAACTGCAGGACCTCAACCTGGGACCTTCCGAGCTGTGAGCACCGCTGGACCTCAACCTGGGACCCGCCGAGCTCAGTGAGCACCGCTGGACCTCAACCTGGGACCTTCCGAGCTCAGTGAGCACCGCTGGACCTCAACCTGGGACCTTCCGAGCTCAGTGAGCGCCGCTGGACCTCAACGGCCAGAGAGAATGCCAGAAGATATGCCAGATAGAACGCCAGATAGCATGTCAGATAGAATGCCAGAAGATATGCCAGATAAAATGCCAGAAGATATGCCAGATAGAATGCCAGAAGATATGCCAGATAGAATGCCAGAAGGTATGCCAGATAAAGTGCCAGAATGTTTGCCAGATAGAATGCCAGAAAATTTGCCAGATAGGATGTCAGAAGATATGCCAGAAGATATGCCAGATAGAATGCCAGAAGATTTGCCAGAACATATGCCAGAAGATATGCCAGATAGAATGCCAGAAGATATGCCAGATAGAATGCCAGAAGGTATGCCAGATAGAATGTCAGATAGAATGCCAGAAGGTATGCCAGATAAAGTGCCAGAATGTTTGCCAGATAGAATGCCAGAAGATTTGCCAGATAGAATGCCAGATAGAATGTCAGAAGATATGCCAGATAGAATGCCAGATGGAATGCTAGAGAATATGCCAGAAGATATGCCAGAAGATATGCCAGGTAGAATGCCAGAAGATATGCCAGATAGAATGCCAGAAGATATGTCAGATAGAAGGCCAGAAGATGTGCCAGTAACAAATCGATAAATGTCATGGTGGGGATCACACGAAGTAAAGTAATTTAAAATGATGCAATATAGAATGGGCTACCGCCCTGGTGCCGCCGACCCCCCTTATTTGGGGGGTCCTGTAGAGAGAGGGAGAGAGAGAGAGAGAGGGAGGGAGAGAGAGAGAGAGGGCTTGGTGGAAGCTGCCTCGGGGGATTTGGAGGGTTGTAGGGGTTGTAAGGGTTTGAATAACGGCTTGAAGGCTGGCAAACGGCAGGCTTGAACGCCTTAACAACAGAGGGCTATGCAGGCAAACGAGGCTGCAACGCTGGGACAGCAAAGGCTTACGGCCAGAAAGCTTGGTGGAAGCTGCCGCAAGGGAGTTGGAGCCTGCGGAAGGGTTGGAAGGGTTTGAAGGGTTTGAAGCGTTTGAGGGCGCGCAAACGGCAGGCTTGAACGCCCTACAAACCAGATGGCAAAGGCATGTAAGAGTTGTTGCCTTGGAAAGACTTGCGGAAGCGTTTGGAGGGTTTGAAGCCGGGCAAACGGCAGTCTTGAACCTCGTGAAAAACAGATGGCAGGGGCATGTAGCTGTAAGAGTTGTTGCCTTGGAAAGGCTTGCGGAAGCGTTTGGAGGGTTTGAAGCTGGGCAAACGGCAAAGCCGGGCAAACGGCAGTCTTGAACCCCGTGAAAAACAGATGGCAGGGGCATGTAGCTGTAAGAGTTGTTGCCTTGGAGGCCTGCGGAAGGGTTTGGAGCATTTGAGGCCGGGCAAACGGCAGTCTTGAACCCCCTGACAAACAGATGGCAGGGGCATGTAGCTGTAAGAGTTGTTGCCTTGGAGGCCTGCGGAAGGGTTTGGAGCGTTTGAGGCCGGGCAAACGGCAGTCTTGAACCCCCTGAAAAACAGATGGCAGGGGCATGTAGCTGTAAGAGTTGTTGCCTGGGAGGCCTGCGGAAGGGTTTGGAGCGTTTGAGGCCGGGCAAACGGCAGTCTTGAACCCCCTGAAAAACAGATGGCAGGGGCATGTAGCTGTAAGAGTTGTTGCCTTGGAGGCCTGCGGAAGGGTTTGGCGGGTTTGAAGCCGGGCAAACGGCAGTCTTGAACCCGTGAAAAACAGATGGCAGGGGCATGTAGCTGTAAGAGTTGTTGCCTTGGAGGCCTGCGGAAGGGTTGAACCCCCTGACAAACAGATGGCAGGGCCATGTAGCTGTAAGAGTTGTTGCCTTGGAGGCCTGCGGAGGGGTTTGGAGCGTTTGAGGCCGGGCAAACGGCAGTCTTGAACCCCCTGAAAACCAGATGGCAGGGGCATGTAGCTGTAAGAGTTGTTGCCTTGGAGGCCTGCGGAAGGGTTTGGAACGTTTGAGGCCGGGCAAACGGCAGTCTTGAACCCCCTGACAAACAGATGGCAGGGGCATGTAGCTGTAAGAGTTGTTGCCTTGGAGGCCTGCGGACGGGTTTGGAGCGTTTGAAGCCGGGCAAACGGCAGCCTTGAACCCCCTGAAAAACAGATGGCAGGGGCATGTAGCTGTAAGAGTTGTTGCCTGCGGAGGGGTTTGGAGCGTTTGAGGCCGGGCAAACGGCAGTCTTGAACCTCCTGAAAAACAGATGGCAGGGGCATGTAGCTGTAAGAGTTGTTGCCTTGGAGGCCTGCGGAAGGGTTTGGAGCGTTTGAGGCCGGGCAAACGGCAGTCTTGAACCCCCTTGAAAAACAGATGGCAGGGGCATGTAGCTGTAAGAGTTGTTGCCTTGGAGGCCTGCGGAGGGGTTTGGAGCGCTTGAGGCCGGGCAAACCGCAGTCTTGAACCCCCTGAAAAACAGATGGCAGGGGCATGTAGCTGTAAGAGTTGTTCTTGGAGGCCTGCGGAGGGGTTTGGAGCGTTTGAGGCCGGGCAAACGGCAGTCTTGAACCCCCTGAAAAACAGATGGCAGGGGCATGTAGCTGTAAGAGTTGTTGCCTTGGAGGCTTGCGGAGGGGTTTGGAGCGTTTGAGGCCGGGCAAACGGCAGTCTTGAACCCCCTGAAAAACAGATGGCAGGGGCATGTAGCTGTAAGAGTTGTTGCCTGGAGGCTTGCGGAGGGGTTTGGAGCGTTTGAGGCCGGGCAAACGGCAGTCTTGAACCCCTTGAAAAACAGATGGCAGGGGCATGTAGCTGTAAGAGTTGTTGCCTTGGAGGCCTGCGGAGGGGTTTGGAGCGTTTGAGGCCGGGCAAACGGCAGTCTTGAACCCCCTGAAAACCAGATGGCAGGGGCATGTAGCTGTAAGAGTTGTTGCCTTGGAGGCCTGCGGAAGGGTTTGGAGCGTTTGAGGCCGGGCAAACGGCAGTCTTGAACCCCCTGACAAACAGATGGCAGGGGCATGTAGCTGTAAGAGTTGTTGCCTTGGAGGCCTGCGGAAGGGTTTGGAGCGTTTGAGGCCGGGCAAACGGCAGTCTTGAACCCCCTTGAAAAACAGATGGCAGGGGCATGTAGCTGTAAGAGTTGTTGCCTTGGAGGCCTGAGGAAGGGTTTGGAGCGTTTGAGGCCGGGCAAACGGCAGTCTTGAACCCCCTGAAAAACAGATGGCAGGGGCATGTAGCTGTAAGAGTTGTTGCCTGGGAGGCCTGCGGAAGGGTTTGGAGCGTTTGAGGCCGGGCAAACGGCAGTCTTGAACCCCTTGAAAAACAGATGGCAGGGGCATGTAGCTGTAAGAGTTGTTGCCTTGGAGGCCTGCGGGGAGCGTTTGAAGCCGGGCAAACGGCAGTCTTGAAACCCCTGAAAAACAGAGGGGTTTGGAGCGTTTGAGGCCGGGCAAACGGTAGTCTTGAACCCCCTGAAAAACAGATGGCAGGGGCATGTAGCTGTAAGAGTTGTTCTTGGAGGCCTGCGGAGGGGTTTGGAGCGTTTGAGGCCGGGCAAACGGCAGTCTTGAACTCCTGAAAAACAGATGGCAGGGGCATGTAGCTGTAAGAGTTGTTGCCTTGGAGGCCTGCGGAAGGGTTTGGAGCGTTTGAGGCCGGGCAAACGGCAGTCTTGAACCCCCGGAAAAACAGATGGCAGGGGCATGTAGCTGTAAGAGTTGTTGCCTTGGAGGCCTGCGGAGGGGTTTGGAGCGTTTGAGGCCTGGCAAACGGCAGTCTTGAACCCCTTAAAAACAGATGGCAGGGGCATGTAGCTGTAAGAGTTGTTGCCTTGGAGGCCTGCGGAGGGGTTTGGAGCGTTTGAGGCCGGGCAAACGGCAGTCTTGAACCCCTGAAAAACAGATGGCAGGGGCATGGTTTGAGGCCGGGCAAACGGCAGTCTTGAACCCCTTGAAAAACAGATGGCAGGGGCATGTAGCTGTAAGAGTTGTTGCCTTGGAGGCCTGCAGAGGGGTTTGGAGCGTTTGAGGCCGGGCAAACGGCAGTCTTGAACCCCTTGAAAAACAGATGGCAGGGGCATGTAGCTGTAAGAGTTGTTGCCTTGGAGGCCTGCGGAGGGGTTTGGAGCGTTTGAGGCCGGGCAAACGGCAGTCTTGAACCCCGGGGCATGTAGCTGTAAGAGTTGTTGCCTTGGAGGCCTGCGGAGGGGGTTGGAGCGTTTGAGGCCGGGCAAACGGCAGTCTTGAACCCCCTGAAAAACAGATGGCAGGGGCATGTAGCTGTAAGAGTTGTTGCCTGGAGGCCTGCGGAGGGGTTTGGAGCGTTTGAGGCCGGGCAAACGGCAGTCTTGAACCCCTTGAAAAACAGATGGCAGGGGCATGTAGCTGTAAGAGTTGTTGCCTTGGAGGCCTGCGGAGGGGTTTGGAGCGTTTGAGGCCGGGCAAACGGCAGTCTTGAACCCCCTGAAAAACAGATGGCAGGGGCATGTAGCTGTAAGAGTTGTTGCCTTGGAGGCCTGCGGAGGGGTTTGGAGCGTTTGAGGCCGGGCAAACGGCAGTCTTGAACCCCCTGAAAAACAGATGGCAGGGGCATGTAGCTGTAAGAGTTGTTGCCTTGGAGGTGTGTTTAGGGGTTTGGAGCGTTTGAGGCCGGGCAAACGGCAGTCTTGAACCCCCTGAAAAACAGATGGCAGGGGCATGTAGCTGTAAGAGTTGTTGCCTTGGAGGCCTGCGAAAGGGTTTGGAGCGTTTGAGGCCGGGCAAACGGCAGTCTTGAACCCCCGGAAAAACATATGGCAGGGGCATGTAGCTGTAAGAGTTGTTGCCTTGGAAGCCTCCGGAGGGGTTTGGAGCGTTTGAAGCCGGGAAAACGGCAGCCTTGAACCCCCTGAAAAACAGAGGGGTTTGGAGCGTTTGAGGTCGGGCAAACGGCAGTCTTGAACCCCTGAAAAACAGATGGCAGGGGCATGTAGCTGTAAGAGTTGTTGCCTTGAAGGCCTGCGGAGGGGTTTGGAGCGTTTGAGGCCGGGCAAACGGCAGTCTTGAACCCCCTGAAAAACAGATGGCAGGGGCATGTAGCTGTAAGAGTTGTTGCCTTGGAGGCCTGCGGAAGCGTTTGGAAGGTTTCAGGCCAGTCAAACGGCAGTCTTGAACTCCCTGAAAAACAGATGGCAGGGGCATGTAGCTGTAAGAGTTGTTGCCTTGGAGGCCTGCGGAGGGTTTGGAGCGTTTGAGGCCGGGCAAACGGCAGTCTTGAATCCCTTGAAAAGCAGATGGCAGGGGCATGTAGCTGTAAGAGTTGTTGCCTTGGAGGCTTGCGGAGGGGTTTGGAGCGTTTGAGGCCGGGCAAACGGCAGTCTTGAACCCCTTGAAAAACAGATGGCAGGGGCATGTAGCTGTAAGAGTTGTTGCCTTGGAGGCCTGCGGAGGGGTTTGGAGCGTTTGAGGCCGGGCAAACGGCAGTCTTGAACCCCCTGAAAAACAGATGGCAGGGGCATGTAGCTGTAAGAGTTGTTGCCTTGGAGGCCTGCGGAGGGGTTTGGAGCGTTTGAGGCCGGGCAAACGGCAGTCTTGAACAGGGGCATGTAGCTGTAAGAGTTGTTGCCTTGGAGGCCTGCGGAAGGGTTTGGAGCGTTTGAAGCCGGGCAAACGGCAGTCTTGAACCCCCGGAAAAACAGATGGCAGGGGCATGTAGCTGTAAGAGTTGTTGCCTTGGAGGCCTGCGGAGGGGTTTGGAGCGTTTGAGGCCGGGCAAACGGCAGTCTTGAGCCCCTTGAAAAACAGATGGCAGGGGCTTGTAGCTGTAAGAGTTGTTGGAGGGGTTTGGAGCGTTTGAAGCCGGGCAAGCGGCAGTCTTGAGCCCCCTGAAAAACAGATGGCAGGGGCATGTAGATGGCTGGGGCATGTAGCTGACAGAGTTGTTGCCTTGGAAAGGCGTGTGCCTGTGCTTGCGATCAGAGAGTCAAGTTCCACACCTCCGATGGTCCCAGGCGCCGCCCCTGCCTCGGGGTCGGCGGATTTTTCCACATGAATACTGTTTCTTTTTCGAAGGAAGATTGCATAGCACCATTGTTCAAGTTAAAATTTCATGAAGTCATCAAGTACTTTGTTAAAGGAATGCCGCCCTCTTGAAAAAGTATTGTGTATATTAGAGAGACGCTACCCTTCTCTGAAATAGTAGTACCTCTATAGAAAACATACCATATTTGTTCCAAAATATATGGAAGACATGGCGCACTCTTTCTAAAGGAATGCTGTGCACATCTCAGGGCCCTGCTTCACAGTAATGATACATTTTATAAGAGGAACGCTGCCCTCTCTGTAGAAGAATGTTGCATGGAGGTATGCCACAACTTCCTGAAGGAATGCCACATTTTTTTACATGATGACTGACGAGAAGCATGCTGTTGCCCTTATAATCTGAGTTGATACTCTGTTTTAAAAACACCGATTTTTTGAAGAGAACAGCATGTTTATCCCTCCAAAACGTTCCATATCTCTTTAAGATGCACCAAACCCTGTCAGGAAGACGCAGTACTGCTTGGAGACAAAATGACATCTCCCGTCGATCACAGGTGCTGTTTCCTCTTGTTCATGCTTTGCTATAAAGACACGCAGCACAGAAACAAACACCACTCTATCGTTGAGCGTGGCGCAACCGGCCAAAATTGAACTCCATTCCTCTTTGATATTCATTGACTCAATACAATATTTCATAGCATATTTCTACCAAACTGAATTTGCCCAGCGGATTGACGGGTTTGCTTTCAGGTCCTTGTAGTTTATTTTTTGCCTGATGTACAAACTTGGATGTGTACCGTATACACACAAGACTTGAAACCAAAAATTTTTACACTATACGTACCTATTATATACATATAGCCTTATAGCTCTACAACCGCTACGCCTCAACACTAAGACAGACATAAACAGATGTTTGAAGTGACTCATGTTCTACATTATTCAATATATAAAACTTACCCAAAAAACGCACTCCCACAAAGACCCTGACTCTCTTTTAAACTATATTATTTTTCAATTATCTGTGAGTCATTTTTTTTAAAACAAAATCATATTATTATTCTTATTATAGTATAGTTTTTAATTTAGTTAAGAAAACAAAAAATGTAGCAGCCTGTTTTCTTTTTGTAGTTTGTCTGTTTGTTTTTTGTCTAAATAACTGATTGAACTTGAACATTTTAATTTTTTTGATTCAAAATAAAACATGGAGGACTTTATCACCATTAGTATCCGCTTGAATTTTTCAGAGGTTTGATATGGGGCACTTGCTTTTCGTGTAGAACATCCTGCTTGCTGGTGTGCCCAAGACCCTCCGTGTGAGTTTCTTGTGATGTTGTCCACAAAGCGCGCAGCCAAGCCGCTGCAGGCTCAAGAAGTCCGAGAAGCGCGAGAAGCCCAAGAAGCTGCCGATGCAGAGGAAGCTGCAGACTGTCAGGGTCTTGGAGAGTTTCTTCAGGATCTTACAGGATCTTGGGGTCTTAGAGGTTGAGATCTTGCAGATCATCGCTTTGAGATGCGAGATATGATTTATAAAAAATTATAAAATGATAGCGTTGAACAGCAGGCAAATACGGATTGAGTGCAAGTTGGTTGAGATGTATTCAGATGTGAATATAGACTTAGTTGAGATCTTCGGACAGACACTTTTTTGCAACAGTTCCATGACCCGTTTCTGAGTCTCACAATGCCACGCCTTTCACCAGTTTTTGAATTTGAAATTATCACGTGGAGATGTTGACACGATAGGGCAGATCGAACATGGAAACAATAGAAGCCGTGCAACTTCACTGAGACATCTTCTGTATTTGGACGTGTGCGTTAATTATACGATCGCAAATGCCATGATGCCACCACACACCAATTACTGTACAACTGATACAATCCACACACTAGACTAGAATAGATCTTTAATCGATCCGTTGGGAACTGAATCCCCTCACATGCAAATTTGACGGGAAGACAGCAACCTAAGAAGTATTATTCGAATAATGGGAGGTACTCCAAATAGACAAACACGACCAGAAGCGCCATCAAGGCTTAGCCCCTGGCCACAAAGACGGTAAATAATGCAGGTACAAGTGGTTGATCAGACCACTCATCCACCGAAATGCCATAGCTTCGTTGGACTGGATAGGCAAATCGGCTCCAGTCCCCCTGCTTAGAATACAACAAAAGAAGTTCCTGGAAGCTTTACATCTATTCAGATGTTACACACACACACACACGCATTATCTGCACATATCTGTACTATATACAGTCATCACTTTGACGCGAAGAAGATGGTAACACTCGCAGCTCGCATACATAGATGTCAAAGATGGAGTACAACCTGGTATAACTTGTTCGAGACGCCAAGTGACCCATAGTCCTATCAGCAAAAGGAATAGGACAGTGAGATTGAGGGCCTGGCTCCACATGTGACGCTAAGATGCCAAGGGCCTTGGATCATAAGTTTGAGATGGTTTGAGATCGATGATAACATGTTAAAATTGAACAGCTGGAAAAGTGACTTCAATTTCACTGAGATGTATTCATCAGACATCTGGTACTGGGAATGCTCTCACATGACTCGTGTACTAGTTTGAGATTTCTGGTTGAGATCGAAGTGCTTAAATTACTACAATTTTTGGCAAGCCTGTTTGTGCTAACTTTTTTCTGTATGGGATTGTTTGGATCGATTGAGATCATGATCTTCTTCCCACGAATAAATTATAATCAATTAATTTGTCTAAGTGTTTCATCCCATCAAATCCTATCATATCCCATCAAATCCCATCTGACCTAAAATCAGGTGTTTCATGATGTTTCTATTTTCTCCCAGTCTTCATTCCATACAATCCAATCATATCCAAACCATACAATACACATCAACACACATAGATTTTGACTCAAAACATTCAATGTTACTTTGTCACGATTTTTTGGGTCTCCGTTGTGGCCTCTGCGGCCCTTCCACCGGGGCCCTCCCGGGGCGGCCCGTGGCCCCCGAGGCGGCTACGACATCGCCCGGGCAGTTAGTTTTGGTCGTTTTGGCGCGGTGCGCCACATCCTGCGGACGCGGCCCGGCGCTGTGGCTTCAACGGAGGACGACGGGTGGACCGTGCTGCACGACGCGGCGGGCCACGGCCGCGTGGAGATCTGCCAGGTGCTGCTGGCGGCGGGGGCCGAGGTCCACGCCAGGGATGACGTTGGCCTCTCGGCCCTGAAGAGATGGATACACGGTGCTTTGGGGGAGATTTCAGGGTGCCAAAAAAAATTCGAACGCAACATGTGAAATGTAAAACGGTTTTGGTGGTTTTGGTTGGGCTTAGTAGGTTTTGAGGCTTTAAAAAGGCAGTTTCCAGTTGAAATCATTTACATCAACAACCACACATGGACAGAAGTTGAAACAACACAAGATATCACACAATTAAAGCAACAATCATGAAACAATTGGACAGAAGTTGAAACAACACAAGATATCACACAATTAAAGCAACAATCATGAAACAATTGAACTTGGCGGTATTTGGGGCTCCTGATGGAGCCTTGGATGTGCAGCTTCTCGGAGACTTGGCACATTCATGGATTTTTCACAATCTTTTCACATACTTCGTTGTCTTCGGTTTGATTTGCATCAGAAGGACATTTCTGGGAGCAGTCGCTCGCCCGAGGTCAGACCCCGCTGCACTATGCGGCGGGCAACGGCCGCGTGGAGGTGGTGCAGCTGCTCGTCGAGGCGAAAACCTCCGTCACTGTGACAAACAGCTATGGCCGGGGGCCTCGACTGGGAGATGTGATGGGTTTTTGATGGTTTTTGCTTACTTATCTTATCATATTAAATTATATTACCTACACATATATATATAATATACTTATTGTTACACATATTGCTTTGTGGCGGCTGTTTTGTTTGTTGAACATTGAGACCTCCTGTGGTCAGTAGTCAGTCAAGGTGTCTTAGGGTCCTCAGGCACTAGGGTTGTTTAGCTGAAGGTGATTGGAGATGCGGAGACACAGTACGCATTTGGACAGGCATTCTACAACATCATTCGACATCCCAAAGACACATCATTGCTTGAGACAACGCAAACAGCATGAGGAGACGTCTCAACGGATGGAGACTCACTGAATGTTTGTTGGTAGAAAATGAATGAAAATGATAGAAATGTATCACGATGTACTGTATCATATGATCAATGGTATCTGTGAATGTGCACAACGCACATCCAGCCTCCGCATGTGCAATACGTTGAATGAAATGATGCGTGCATAATACGTACACACATCCTCATTTGTTCGAGATATTTGTCAAGACGCCACAGCGAAATTGCACAACACCGAACTTGCCATCTCGAAGCTGTATGGGCATGTATGGACAACCTGATTCTCTGGTTTTTTTCTCATTGGAATTCTTTGCCCTCCTGGACTGAACTAGCACAGGAACCGTCCAATCGGTTGATTTTGTGTTGAGGGTATTTTACTTGAAAGCAACATCTCGGGAATACTTTTCTTACGTGCTTATATCCGTGAGAAGCACCATTTCAAATGACTGGGGATTCATTCTCCTGGAAAATGTCAGAATACGCTTTTCAGTGATTTCAGGGGTTTGAGGGGTTTCATGTCATTTTACAGCGCGACACTGAATCTGAAAATGTTAGTTAGCTCTCCGTCATTTTGGGATTTGCGGATTTTTGCGGATATTTGCAGGAGTTTTGCGGATATTTGCAGGAGTTTCGCAGAAATTTGCGGGATTTTTGCGGGCAATTTCCAACGTTTTCGGTGGCAGCTGCTTTCACTTTGCTCACCTCAACCTTCAGATATTGAAAAGCACCCTGGACATCCAATTGCCTTTCCAAGAACAAAAAACAAGGATTTTAAGAGTTTCAGGTGTTTGACGTCAAAATCTATCGTTTTCAGAGAAAACAGGTAAACACCGAGAACCCATGGATTTTGGATTTTGAATCTCCAGGTGTGTTATTTGTTTGGGTCTGGGGGTTCGAATTTGAAGGTCTCCTTCAACTTCGAATGCCACAAAGGGATGCAGAAGTCATGTGAAACTGCAGTCTTTCCACAAGTTTCAACACAGTCAGTCTATGAACGCGACGCTACCATGAAAGTTAATGGCAAGCTCTGGACTCTGGCCCTGGGTCTCTAGGAGATAGAACTTCAGCCCAATCAACATTAAATTGTGAATATGGGATGTGAATAGCGTTTGGAGCAACTTGAATAACTGGCGTGAAGAATGACGGCAACAATGTTTTGTTTTCAAGTGACGGAATTCGATACATCAGACGCTCTACAAATCTCTACAAGTAAATTCTTCAATATGGCTTTTGAAATGACATCAAGACCCATGAGTGTGGTGCAATCAACATCAATTACAGCGCTCAGGCCAGACTCCATTGGACTATGCACGAAGAGCGGGCAACGATGAAGTTGTGAAGATTCTGAAGAATGCAGAATCTTGGCTGCACACATGTGTCACCGAGAGCAGGTCGTTCGTTTCGGAGTCCGACTGCTTCCAGCAAGACACAGCTACAGCCGCAGATTTTGATTGTGCCTTTGCTTTACCTGAGGCATGAAGCTCCAAGATTTGCGCGTGGAGCAACTCAGCTGTTGGTGCGATCTCTGGATTGATGGTGCGGCCTTCCATGTTTCACGCGCCCTTGGTCGAATCGGTACGAAAATGCAAACATCTGTGCGCTCAAATAGATTACTGTTTTGCGAGGTGCAGAATTGAAGGAACATGTTTCTCATTTGGGCTCTTTTCTTGCTTAGATATGTTTCGACCACGGAAACGACACTCTATCAGCGAGCCTTCTGGAGTTTCCTTCCAACCATTTTGTTCGCTTCAAGTGTCTGGAGTCATCATGCTGCTTCTTGGCACATCCTGGTTCAAGCCTCGGAAGATTGAAATCAAGCCTCGGTCGACATGCGCAGGTGACAAACTTGCCAGCTTGCTAGCCCATTTGACAGGGACAAATTCACAGGGTTGTCAGTTTCCATGCTGGAATTGCTCAGGTCCCCTCTCATTTGGATTGGTCCATTGGTTTGCCATCGAACATATCGAACCTCCCGCTGCTGCATGGCTGCGCGAGTGGCTCCAACTTTTCAGGCTGGAAATACGCTTGCCTTGGCCTACACATGCTGAAAGTCTGACAATAGTTGAGCTGGGCAATGAGGTGTTTTATCGTGCCTAAAGGATCCTAAAGGTATGAATATGTCGACTGTTAGAAAACGCGGATCATGTTTTATTTATTTTTATTTGCTACCATTCTGTTTGCCATTCTGAGCAGCATTTATGACGCTGTCATTTAAAACGGTCTTGAACATCCTGACATGGGTGCCTTCTCATCGAAAAAGCAAAGAATCTGATGATTGCGTTCACTGGATTGTGCATGAAGCCTTCGCTCAATTCAACCACAAATCCGCGGAACGTCGTTGTGATGATGTGTTGGGTGGAGTCTTGAAGAAATTTGTAGAGCCTCATCTGGAGCCACCCAAACTCTCGCGGCCTGCAGACACTTGTCGCACACTGGCCATCGGCCTCGACATGTTGAACCCTTCTCCAAAGTTGAGAACTTGGATATCCACAAAGAAAACTCTTGAAAGTTATCAGCGTCCCGCCTCAATCTTGTTGTCTTCCCCGACCTAAATTATGCGGGCAGTGTCCATGACCTCGCATGATATGGGCAGAAAGAGATGTCTCAGAGAGGTGCCGTGTAAGCCAACGGCGGAATCGGTCAAGTGTAAAGAACATAGGCCCAACATCACACATTCTGCGCCAAACTCATATTTGGACGAGTGTTTTTGTGGGCGATCCAAACCTTGCAATTAACCACTTCAGGCCAACCATGAAATCTTGTACCATGCAGCGGACGAGGCTCCCCATGTTTTCTCAGTGCATTTTCAATGAACAAATCAATTCCACGCATTTCATATGAGCTTCGTTGACCTTGCAAAGTTCAATTCAATTTTAAGGGGTGCACTCTTCTGAGCTTGGTACTACAACTCCGAAACCAGAACCCGTCCACATCAACTCCAGATCGCATGTGCAGAAACATGCCAAACATATCCAAAAGTCTTCAACAACCTGGTAGTGTTTGGCCTCGTTGATTCGTGTGGCCTTGCCGGTGTCAGCCCCTTGGCAAAACTGCGTTCAACGTCTCTTGACAAGTGCTGCTTGCGCACAGGAATTAGCCGGGGCCCATGCCTCCAAGCGCAAATCCTTCATCTCCAACCATACTCAAGTGTGAAGATTTTGGACAAAGTGATATCCCAAATACCAGAAGGGTGCAGTGCATATTGCAGGTGTTGCTAGGTGTTTTCGGTGCGCCAGGACCCCGAAGAGCTGGTAAGTCATGCAGGCCAGGGAGATGCCGATGGTTGGTGGCAGGGGCTGTTTCCCCGGGAGGAGCGTCTTAGAATTTTTGGTGAGAATGTATGATCCTGATTGTCGACTGAAACGGACACTATTCAGAATTTTTAGACCTTAAGATGTCAAGATGTCTTGACTTTTCAGACCTTAAGAATCCTTAAGATGTCTTGATTTGTCTGCTGGAGTTCTGAAGTATTAGGGTCAACGGATTGCCTAAGAAGTGGGCGCAGAATTGGAGGCGTCTCTTGAAAACACATATCTCTTGAAAGCAAAACAAGCAGTCTATGGTGGTCTTTGACTCTTGATTTCAGGGTCTCGCCTTTCAGGGTCCAGAGCAAATTGCAGGAATTGCACACCCAAGGAATTGCGGAGGTTTGGCTTTTGGAGCTGAGTTGTGTTGCGAGGCAGCACACCTCACGACCTTGCAAAGGACGGCGATGACAAGAAGGTCATGGGTTTGCGGGTTCAATATGATCAATATGTCAAAATGTTCAATTGTTCATTATCTTTGCCGGTAGTGCTGACACAGGTATAATTATTCAGGAACTGGCTGGTTGGACCTTGAGTCTTCAAGTGCAAATCCTCGTGGTCTGCCATCAAATTCTATCGGAACGCATCTAAAGTTGCTTCACATTGTGTGAGGGTTGCTCATAGAACCGACCTTCGACTGGCAGAATCTAGCTAGTAGGTAGCTAGCAGCTAGTGCATGAGCCAAGTGGCCAGGTTTTCGTGGCTCTGCTGACCGGCAAAGACTGTGAATGTGACTCGGCCGCCCCATGGATACACCTCCCTTTGTCCAAGGTGTAAGATGGTGCAAGATGGTGTAAGCTAGTGATGAATCGCTGCTGTTGACGTGCAAAGAAATTGGCTACTGTCGATTTTCAAAAGTTACTGTTGCAAATTCATGAATCGATGTTGTTCTCCGAATTAAATGGCATCAGATGTGATGACCTGGTTGGTGCCCTACACGGTTGCATCGGTGGACTATGTTGATACCTGCACTGACTCTCGTTTGCGAATTCGGAATGTCAGGCCTGTGGTTGCAAGACCGGACTATCCGACAGCTGAAAGAAGAAGCTCAGCACCTTAGCAAGTTAGGTGTGCGGCATGTCATGTGGGGTTTGGATGGTTTGGTCCTGGCTTGTCTTTGGCGACTTTGTATTGTATTCTCTACGACACTGTTTTGGTGTTTTTTGTCTTGGTGCTCCTTCTGCCAGGTGTCTGTTTCTGGTTGTGCTATGTGCAACAGTTGTCTAACTGGAGTCGAGGAGGAACATGCCCAAGGCATTTGCATGGCCTTCAATGCTCGGTTGTACTTTACTTCCTATTTCTGGTGGTAGAATGTGGTATACTTGTTTTATCGAAGTTTCATTTATTTTCAAAGAGGCCAGGGATATCAATTTAGACGCAGAATGAAGCAGGCACAGTCAGTTTCTGGCGCTGCTGCATGAGAGAAGAGTAGGGGATTGATTGCTGCCTGCCGTGCTGCACAGTCGTGCAGTTGGAAACCCGAGGCAAAAACTGGATCTTACGATAAAGAACTTGATTGGTCCCAACATGGAGCCGTTGCTGCTTGGGCTGCAAAGAACTCTTCAAAACTTTCGCCTGTTTCATTGATGTTGCGCCTGCTGAAGTTTGCAATATGATGCAATCGGACATGCAACCGGACCTAAAACACGACGTTGTGGAAGTAGTGAAACCCATACTGGGTCCATGGGCCTTTCTGCAACTGTACCTGGCAATGTCTTTGAGATATCCGGCAATGTCTTTCAGAAAGAGAACTAAGAGCTTTTTCAGTGACTTTTGCGTAGGTTTGTCAAGATGTTGGTGGATGGTGAATGGCGAATGTCGGTGAATGCAGCGATTATATAAATCCAGGAAAGTCAGATATAAGTCCAGGAAAATACAGGTTTGGAAAGACTCATTCGGCGAAGGACAATCTAATCACAGCGTCCTCTGGAGAATGACTCGGGTTAGAACATGTTAGAACAATTTGTGAAAGTGGAATGAGATATTCCGATATTCCCAGGTATTGCAAAGAATATGCATGTAATTTATGGTTCGGATGTTCATACCAGTGCAACAGCAACCAAAATCAAGGTCTTTTGAATCAAGGTCACAACTGCCCTTGTATACCCGGAATTCTGGAACAAGAGCTTGGCTTGTCCAAGAGTATCTTTCCATACTTGCCAAGGGACGAAGAGAAGATGCTCCCAGAAGAAAACATTGTGCCTGGCACCACGCTGACAGTCGTTGCAGCGGCCTGGCATGTGACAAGAGCAATGTGACAGCAGTTCACTGTGCAGTGGTTGGGGCCTTCAAATTCAATCAAGATTCAACACTTTCGCAGGCCCGTGATGATCGTTCAGATCGTTCCACATGCAACATATGTTTTCGTGTTTTGGGATGGCGGAGCAAAACACATGTTGTGCAGCAATGCATGTTCAGAATTCAGAAGCATTTGTCGAGGACCATTCATGTCTGTCTATTGCGTGTGGATAATGAAGGCAAACATGGTTCACAAAGTGGCGGACCCTTAGCATGAGACAACCTCCCTAAAGAAATTTCCCGATTTCAAGGAAAGCACTGTAATTCACAAGCGGGTCGTCCGTCCACTTGGCAGCTGAGGTAAACCAGGCAGCAGAGGATGAGAAAGAAGCGGCAGAATGCTGGGCTCTCAGCAGTTGATCCTGTGTCTGCTTCCTGCATGGTCTGCATGGTCAGCGTTTTTTCACCACACATTGCACGAACTTACCAAACTAATTCTGAAACGATATGGTGCAAAATGTGTCAGAAGTTTTCAACGGATGTTTTGCATTTTTGAAGATCAGCTTCATTTGATACTAGTGCGGCATATCACTTCGGTTATTTTCAAGTGTGGTATTTTCTTGAAACGTTTCATCGCTATGCTTCACCAATCATCATGATCTCTGATGTTATTCCACTTAGAAACACGGAGTCGGTGCCACCCGCCGCACCGCGACTGCGGCCTCCGGTATAAGCTGTGCAATCGAGATCTCTTCATTTTGTTAAGATCTTTTCATAATGTGTCAGCGTCTACTGTTCAATTATAGCTGCTTAAGTCGTCTGCAACTCTATGTGTGCTGTTTTTTCCTGTGCGGACAAACAAGGGAAGTTGGATCAATTTGATGAAATCATTGTGAGATCTTTAGACTGTCTTCATAGATTGAAATTTCACCATTTTCCTTCATTCAACGTGGGGTTTGGTCTGATTTGTTTGCAGTCCTTGCGGCCACCGTGTTCTGACGGGGGGGAAGGGCCTTCCATCTTCCTTTTGCGGGGCCTCCGGCCGCCCCGAGGCGACCATGAGATTCTCGATGCAGCCCAGCTCGGCAAAGTCGGCGCCGTGCGGCACCTGCTGCGGACGGTGCCCGGCGCCGTGGCCGAAACGGAGAGCGGCAGCGGCTACAGCGCGTTGCACGTGGCGGCGGGCGAAGGCCACGTGGAGATTTGTCGGCTGCTGCTGGCGGCTGGCGCCGAGGTGGACGCCAGGGGGGACGAGAGCGGCCTCTCGGCCTGAAGACGGATCCAGTTCTCAGAGTGGCTGTGAGAGTACCAAATGCGCACAAGTTGATCACCCATCTAAATGCAGAAAGATGCAGAAAGTATTGTGCTTTTGGTAGGTTTGATGAGTTGTAAGGGTGAAAAAAAGACAGTTTCCGAGATAAAATAATTTAGATCAACAACCACATGGAGAGAATTTGAAGAAGCACAAGGTATCATAAGATTAAAACAACAATAATCTGAACAACGAAGAACATTCATTTTTAAAAATATTCATGGCTTCTGATGGAGCCTTGGATGTGCAGCTTCTCAGAGACCTTGGGACGATCACGGACTTTCGCATTGCTCGCTGTCTTCAGTCTTCACTTCGGTGTGCATCACAAGGATATTTCTTGGAGCTGCCGCTGGCCCGAGGCAACACCCCGCTGCATTTCGCAACGTACAACGGCCAAGTGGAGGTGGTAAAACTGCTCCTCGAGGCGAAAGCCTCCGTGACAGTGAAAGACTTGCAGGGCCGGGGGCCTCGGCTGGGAGATGTGATGGGTTTTTGTTTCCCTCGTGGCAGCTGTTTTATTTCTTGAACATTGAGCAAGGGAATTGGAGATGCGGAGACATTCAGAAAGGCATTCTATTCTACGACATCCTACAGACACAGCATTGCTTCAGACAATTCAAGCTTTAGAAATTTTAGAAGACACCTCCAATGCAAACGGATGGAGACCCGCGGAAAGTGTGCAGATATAGATGCATCATGATGCATCATGATTGATGTATCTGGAACTTCAGCCCAACCAACATGGGGTGCGAATAGTGTTTGGAGCAACTCGAACAACTGGCATGAAAAAATGAAGGCAATATTTTTTTGTCTTAAAGTGACGGACATTGATACACAAGATGCTTCGCAAGTAAATACTTCAAGACGGCTCTTGAAATGACATCAAGGCCCATGGTGAGTGTGGTGCAATCAGCATTGGTTGCAGCGCTCAGGCCAGACTCCATTGGACGATGCGCGAAGACAGGGCCACGATGAAGTTGTGAAGATTCTTGAGAATGCCGAGTCTTGGCTGCACACACGTGTCAACAAGAGCAGGTCGTTCGTTTCGGAGTCCGAAGCTTCCAGCAAGACGCAGCTACAGCCGCAGATTTTGATTGTGCCTTTGCTTTATCTGAGGCATGAAGCTTGAACTTTTGCGCGTGGAGGATCTCTGGATTGATGGTGCGGGCTTCATGTTTCACGCGCCTTGGTCGAATCCGTGCGAAAATCCAAAGAGTCTGTGAGTTCTGTGAGACTTGCCCAATTGAAGGCACTGTATGAAGAATCCGTTTGGGCATTTCTGTGGTATGCTTGCTCAGCTTGCTCACGCAATATGTTTTGACCGACACCGCGCTCTGTTGGTTAGTCTTCTGCAGTTTCCGTTCCAACCAAGATGTTTGCCTCAAGTGGCTGGAATCATCATGCTGCTTCTTGGAGCATTCTTCTTCAAGCCTGGTTGAAAGATGCTGAAAGAATTTCATGTGCAGGTGGGAAACTTGCAACACCGTTTGACAGGGACACATTCATACTGCAATATGGTTGTAACTTTCCAGTTGCTGTCAGCTCAGGTTCCCTCTCATTCGGATTGGCCGATGGGTTTTACCCACTGAATGTCTCCTAGCAGCTGCTGTGCGAGTGGCTCCGACTTTTAAGGCCTGGAAACGGGCTTGCCTTGGCCTACAGATGTTGACATATTCTTTGCATCCGGTCCTTTGGTTGCTGCATTGCGAATTTACAACGCAGTACATAGTAACTCTTTGCCACACTTGGCTTGTACAAAGCCCTGGATCCCTGCAGTTGAGCATGGCGTTTTCATCCCAGAAATTTGGTTGGCATCATTTTCTTGGTTTTGTCAGCTCTGTGCTGAGGCTGCAGTCACAAAAGGTCATGCTGCAAGTTCGCAGCAAGTTTGGCCGAGCAGTCGACAGATTTGGGTGTTCAACTGTTCTACTTGAGCCGACCTCGTCATCAGCTGCCACATTCCGCTGCACGAGCAGCCTATGGCTTGGCTCCAATGCAGCTATCTCCCAACTTGCAGCCAAAGTTGCTGTTGGTGGTGGACAGATTGATTTATGAGGGACTGACCTTTGATCTACATAGCCTACACTACTGCAAAGTACTGAGTTTATCTGGGTCATTAAAGCGGACAAATTAGCGAGGTCAAAAGCTACAACTGGCTCATCACATTGTTGTGCCCGCGGTTTCATGGCTTGAAAAACAGGGCTCATCAGTTTAAGATAGAGAGCATCTGAGTAGCGTTTTTTTTCTAGATGCAGGAAAATGGATAAAGTGGGAACTCCACAAGACAGATTATGTCCCAGGCGTAGGCTCCCATGCAGACGGCGTAGGTTGCGTAGGCATCGGTGTAGGCCCGTTTGAGCCTACACCGCGTAGGCTTTGTGTAGACACTCGTTGGCAACAGTTAGAACTTGTTCATTTTGCATTGGTTAGTTGTGATACTTGTGGCTTGTGGTTTCAACACCTCATGCCACAATTGGCCACAATCGAAAACAAAAAGAAGCCATGGCCGCGTAGGCAAAGTCTACACCGCCTAGGCTCGCGCAAGCACCTCTTAAGAAAAGTAAGAAAAACATGCCCCACGTAGGCTACCTCATGGAATGGCGTAGGCTCAGCGTAGACAGTTTCGTAGGCTATACGTTAGCGGTCATCGAAAGACAAGGAAAAACACTATTCATTGGGATTGGATTGTTTGCCGAGCTGCCTATACAGCAAGACCGATCAAGAGAGTGCATGACTCGAGTGTTGTATCTCAACCTTCTGTTTGGTGTCAGGAAGTTCACTCAGGATTTTGGCTTCAAAGGAGAACTCAGTGTTCGCACTGTTGGAAGCAAGATCGAGGCTTTATACACATGAGCGAATTGCTACAGTAATGCTTTGTCTTTACTGCATTAGCATTCATTGGTAGTCAATGGTTGGCTTGTGATGAGCCAGAGATTGATATGTTTCCATACTCCATGCAGACATCAAGATTGCAACATAGATCGCTACAGAGACGCTACAGTAATAGAACGATCAGTTAAGGTATTTCAAGCCCACAACCCGTTTGAAAATTTCATACTTGAACGTCCCACAGTGCACTGCTGCCCAACAGGGTTTTAGCCCAATCAGGTTGTCCCAAGGCTGAGGTTGATTTGTGGCTTCTCGAGGACATTTGAAAATATCTATGGTTTTCTAGATGCAATTATAGCAAGGACAAAATGGGATTGCGACGCTCATTGCTGCCTTCCAGCCACCACTTGGTATTCCCTGAGGAACATTTTTCCGACCCCCAAACTTCTCCTCAGCAACGGGCACTTCAGTTCCTGCTTTTCCGTCCAACCCAGATCTGAATTCCTTTCATTGTGCCTAGCAGCCTCATCCATGGGGCTGCTTGTCCAACAGCGTGTTGCATTGTGGCGGCTTTTAGACCTGAACGATGTACACTTGTTGTGCTGAAAAAGTTGTTTTCAGACTAGCTTGCCACTTCTCAAGCCTTAAGGGGTTCATCAGGCAGAATGGTCCTCTGAGGGAACATGATGTACAAATCTTGTTGGCAGGAGCTTGGCAAGAGCATGATTGTTTAAAATACCCCATGTCATGTCTTTCTTGGATATCTTGTGCGCAGCCTAGCAGACACGCTTCTGTCGATATTGTTGGTGTCATCTTGTGGTGCGTGGCGCATTCTGGTTTCAAGCGCTCGCCGAAGGGATTTGATGCCGGTTGTCACCAGCTTGACGGCGTATTCAAGCTTATGTGTGGCGGCCTCATTCTTGCGTGCCTCATTGTCCTGACTTGCATTGCGACGGGGGCCTGTCCTGCTTCTAGTGAAGAGGACTGCCCCCATGTGGCCACCATATCTTTCTTCCAAAATGTGGTGGGTATTCGCAGCTCAGTTCGTCTTTGTCGCCCCTGCTACCTACAGTCTGCTACTTTACACTTTTGGCTTTGTGCGCTTTTCCATGCACCTCTTATCCATGCATTGTTTTAGACACACATGTGCTCGCGCACACACACAGAAACAGGCGTCCAACTTTTGCTGTGTGCTATCTGCTGTTTACGTCAAGCACATGGGATTGTGATGTTGTGGAAGCGCCTCAAAAACGTGACCTTGCGTTTTCATGTGCTTTTGTGCCAATGCCATTCTCCAAGTTTGGGTCGCAGGACCAAGACCCCCGGCCTGCGCAAGGAGTTGTGTGGGCTGTGGCTGGGGAGGTAGACCTGGGCCCCGGCGGCTGTTTGATGGGGGTGAGTGCTTTTTCTCGCTATTTGTGGCTGGTCACTAGGAGCTCGTTGAGTGGCGCCCACACGGAAACATGCATTTCAAAGAGTGGGTGTGCTTGGAGCTCGCAGGTGAGTTGCCTGTGCAACCTATGCATTGGTTCCTTGACAGGAGTGGCTTGAGAGATCTCTCTGCTGCCAAGCAAGGGCGGAGCCGAGGCCAGCAGCTTGATAGCACCTAGTTTGCTTCGCATGGGTAATCGATCTGACGAAGAAGGAAGTCGGTTAGCTAGCTTCGGAGCTCTCTCTCTCTCTCTCTCTCGCTGTCTCTCTCTGTCTCTCTCTGTCTCTCTCTGTCTCTCTCTGTCTCTCTCTGTCTCTCTCTGTCGTCTCTCTCCGTCTCTCTCCGTCTCTCTCCGTCTCTCTCCGTCTCTCTCCGTCTCTCTCCGTCTCTCTCCGTCTCTCTCTGTCTCTCTCTGTCTCTCTCTGTCACTCTCTGTCTCTCTTTCTCTCTCTCTGTCTGTCTGGCTGTCTGTCTGTCTGCCTGGCTGTCTGTCTCTGTCTCTGTCTCTGTCTCTGTCCCTGTCCCTGTCCCTGTCCCTGTCCCTGTCCCTGTCCCTGTCCCTGTCCCTGTCCCTGTCCCTGTCCCTGTCCCTGTCCCTGTCCCTGTCCCTGTCTCTGTCTCTGTCTCTGTCTCTGTCTCTGTCTCTGTCTCTGTCTCTGTCTCTGTCTCTGTCTCTGTCTCTGTCTCTGTCTCTGTCTCTGTCTCTGTCTGTCTCTCTCTGTTTGTCTCTCTCTGTCTGTCTGTCTCTCTCTGTCTGTCTCTCTCTGTCTGTCTGTCTCTCTCTGTCTGTGCCTGTCTGTCTGTCTGGCTGTCTGGCTGTCTGGCTGCCTGGCTGTCTGGCTGTCTGGTTGTCAGTTGTCTGGCTGTCTGTCTGTCTGGCTTTCTGGCGTTTGGGTACTCGCTTTGGAAGGCGTTCAAAAGCATCGCTTTGGAACGCGGTCTCATGCGTCGCTTTGGAACGCGCCTGATCATCATGATCTTCATTCCCGTCTAAGCCGTATATCATCATCATCATCATCATCATCATCATCATCATCATCATCATCATCATCATCATCACCATCATCACCATCATCATCATCATCATCATCATCAATCATCACCATCATCATCATCAGCATCATCGTCATCATCGTCATCATCATCATCATCGTCGTCATCATCATCATTTTCATCTTGCCATGAACATAGCTGATTCTTCTTCTTCATCAGCACCATCAACACCATCAGCACCATCATCATCATCAGCATCATCGTCATCATCATCGTCATCATCATCATCATCATCCATCATCATCCATCATCATCACCATCATCATAGCATGCTTCTTCTTTGCATCGTCATCAGCATCATCATCATCATCACCATCATCATCATGATCAGCATCATCATCATCATCACCATCATCATCATCATCACCATCATCATCACCATTCACCATCGTAAAGGTGCAGCATGCCGATCCTGCTTTTTCTTAACGTCCGGTGAAGGGTTATATACTTGCAGCGCAAATGTTGGTAATGTGTGTGTGTGTGCGTCGGGTGGGTTTGCATGTTTGTTATGTGGTATTGCGATGTCGCGGGCACTCTGCGTCTGCAGGACAGCAAGAAAGATGATGAGGTTGCTGTGCCTGTGTGTGCACAGGAACATGAACGTTATTGCCCCATCCCACCCCACCCCACCACACCCCACCGGTAACTGATCATGAATGAGCAGTGCCTGTGTCTGCTGGACAGCAAGAAAGATGATAAGGTTGCTGTGCCTGTGTGTGCACAAGAACATGAACGTTATTACCCCACCCGACCCCATCCCACCCCACCCGAACCCACCGGTAACTGATCATGAAAGAACACTGCCTGT